GGACCTGCTCTGAAACCATGTCAAGAATAACTGACTGGAATGACTGAACTAACAGGGAAGGCAGTACAAATACAAACCCTAGAATAGTGTACCCCATATAGTCTAGCCCACTGTAGCCTAACAACAACCAACATATATAATGTTTGACACTTTGGCTATGGGGGTGTGTCAGAATGTTATTCTCTAGCCTGTAGTGGGGTGCTCTGTAGCGAGTACAACCCATCTAGGGTTTGCTATATGTATCCTCATTGCTGCTAGTGAAAACCCTCTTCTTTTGCCTAAACTGTCTCTTGCCTAGCTAGGACTCTCCTAGCTATGGCTCCTAACACTACATACTATTTTGACAGTCGGGAGGGGCTGACGCGCGACCCCTCAGGGCGCCACGACGGGAGAGGGGAGGGGGCTGCGCGCGGGCCCCCAGGGCGCCGCGACGGGCGACGGGAAGGGGAGGAACGGCGCGCGGGCCCCTGGGGTGCCGCGACGGGCGACAGGCAGGGCGGCGCGCGGGCCCCCAGGGCGTCGTCACGGGCGACGGGAAGGGGGGGGGGGGACGGCGCGCGGGCCCCCAGGAGCGCCGCGACGGGTGACGAAACCGCCGCGCGCGTCTGGGGCACGCGGCGGGCAGGAAACCGCCACGCGCCCCGAGCGCGTAGCGGGTAGAAAACCGCCGCGCGCCCCGAGCGCGCGGCGGGAAGAAAAAACAATGTCACGCGCCACGGGGCGCGCGACAGGCAGTACAGCAGCAGCGGAAGCATACGGGCCCACAGGCCAGGATCTAAGTAGCTCTAATACCATGTCAAGATTCTAAGCAAGAATGAGAGTAGTAGGCTTAGGAGCCATTTGCTAGGGCTTAAGGTTTTTTTGAAAGAGAATTGAAGAAGGAAGGGGGTTTGAACTAGCAAGCAGCAGGATACAAATAGGAAACCCCCTGATGCATCAGATTTTTTGCTTTTTGCATGTCTGACGAATCAGAAATTTCAAAAAACCTTGTCTGACCAATCAGGATAAAGTTACTAGTGTGTATATGCACTTGGGATCCGATTTTGTGTCGGACTTCTCTTGACCCGTCACATTCATCCAAAGGCCTAACATTCGCCCTCACACCACATTCGCCCTCGGTCATAGCAGGGATTTGCACTGACAGGACAAGGATTCGCCCTATCAGGGAAGCGATTCGCCCTGTCAGGGAAGAGATTCGCCCTGTCAGGGCAGAGATTCGCTCTGTTAGGGCAGAGAATCGCCCTGTCAGGGCAGAGATTCGCCCTGTCACAGTCCGAAATCGTGCTATTATATGTTTCAGTTTCAGACGAAACAAAAAACACGTTTCTGATGGATCAGATGAAGATAAAAAACCATTTCTGATCAATCAGATGAAATATAAGCAATCAATTTCTGGAAAATCAGATTTACATAAAATCGTCATCTGGAAACTCAGAAAAACAGACAAAAATGTTTGATAGCGAGGACCCTGTACGTGGTGGAATTTGGCTTCAATCAAATGCTGAGCTATCCGACGTAGGGAGATGAGAAAACACATCATAACGGATCTATTGGTAAGATTGAAGCATTCAAAACAATAATGCCGGAACCCAAGTGAAGGGTATAGGCACGGTTTTTGTTATGAAAATACTAACTATTATTGACTGTTTCAATTAGGCCACTATACGCTCCAACGAGGCCCTTGCAAATGAACTTCAAATCCGAAACCCGAAACCCCACTGTACCCTTCTTCACCAGACCTGAGGGAGACAGGGGTAGGCCTGGGGCCTCAACCTCAAAAGAATCAGGTTGCCAGGTGGTGGTGCCCAACCAACCAAACACCTGGAGTGCCCAAGATACTGTACTGCCACCTCGCACCCCACGCCCTAGATCCTTTTGATCATTCACCTCCCTGAAGTTTGAAGTTGGATACAGCTTGCCCAGAGGACTGCCCTGCACTACCCCATGATTGTTCGCGTGGGTAAGGATCTTCCTTCCGATGGCGGGTATGCCACGCGGAAGCGATTTAGTGGCTTTCAAAATCGTTACGAGTCAATGAGTTCACACTGTCCACAAATACTTCAAATCCAAATTTCATCGCTCGCAAGCGTTACTATACCACCATAACGTATGATTGCAAACCTCCACAAGGACGGTATTATGTATGGAGCAAAACACGTGCTGCAAGTCCCATGGAGCAAAATGTGTACACCCTCATTCTCACCACATGCACAATCGCCACATGAACCGAACGCTTGTAGTGACTGCAGCGTGCCTAGAATGGTGCTAGCACATACTCTACAAGCACAATCACGATTGCCAAGTTGGTAGTGCAGCTGTTGACTTAGGCTGGCCAGGAAGTGTAACGTACGTTACCCTAAACGTTACCATACGTTACCTTTTTCTACCATACGTTACCTTTTTCTACCGAACGTAGCGTATCTGTATGTGTTTTGAACCTGTGTTAGGAATTGTCTGTTTCTTGTGTGTTTTTGACGTGGAATCTCTGGCCACCGTGTAGGACAACGTCAAACAGATCATTCCGAATGTTCTGTTTTGGCGGTTTGTGCATGGTGTGCCTGTCAACATTAGGGGGTTCGGCCACATGCACAGTGGCACAACCTGACAATACTGTAGACGCTGCTCCTGATTGTGCGTAGGCCGAGAATGAGGGTGTGGTATTTCTTTTGTCACTTAGTCCATGCGGTTAAGTGCACATGATGCTCGTTTGACTAAGCTGAGGTTGCCTTGTGAAGGGGGCTTGTAAGTGATTTAGAGAATTTCGCCAGTTCGCAGCTAGCAAAAAAGGATTCGTCAGGTGCTTATAAGGACTCATAAGAAAATTTGTAACAGTTTCACTTCGGTCTTTTCGGTCAAACTTCAGTTTCTGTGGTTCGTATTGGTTAATATCAGTGCAAATTGCTCGAAGTGCTTGTAGCGTAGGTGCAACCTCACGGCAAAAAAACTACGGGTGCAAGGTTCCCATCTTGTTGAGGGAAAATTCGCGTGCAGGGGGTGAGCATCAGGTGTACTACCAGATTCGAGAATCCATTTGCCCTGTGAAATCCGAAAACACCCTGTGTAAATTATTTACATGTACATATCTGACCTACACAGTTTCAATCCATTGCAGCAACAAGCACCGAGCATCTTTCCAGACCCTACACCGCGGCGCCTCCAGCAAGTCGCACTCCTTTCAGCTAGATTACGGCGTGTTCTAATTCGCGATGCACTGCTTCGGCACGGGATCAGGAAGGGGCTCGAAGCAGGCGGGACAAAATTCGGGCAGTGATTCGGCAAAGAAAGAATATCAAAGAATGATTGCAAGGGTTATTTGCCAAGGTTATATTTGAAAATATAAAGTTTTTACACGTTATCTGTAAACTTTTTCGGCCCAGTGATTTCTTGGAGCCTTCCTACCCCCTGCCACGAGCCGAGCCGATGCAGTTACCGCGAATTGGAACAAGCCCTCAGGAATCCACTTTCTCTAAAAGTTTGGCAGGGGGAAGCGTGCAAGTGGCAACGCTTAAAATGCTCTGCGTTCTGACGGTTTCGCGGAGAAGGCAGCTCCCAGCGGCAAATGTCGAAACCGTTACAGTACGACGGACAGACGAGAACACTACAGAATTTCTTGCGCCCCAAAGTTTTTGTCACTCTAGCAGCTGTGCATGGGATTTCCTCACCTCACTGTGAGCACCAAAAAAGATTGGCTCGTAGACCAATTTCCTACACATGCAGTTCCTGATTCTGCCGCTATCAACCTGGATTCGTCGGCTTGTAATCGTCCTTCGTCGTGGGTGCAGCTTCGACTGTCACACGTCTAAGGTGACGTGGGTGAGACCCTCCTCGCATACTTCACTCGGTCATTTAGCATCACACCTCGAGTTCTATCCTTAGGACACTACTTCCCTCCGATTGTCGACTACTCCACTCAATGGACTCCAGAGCACCGCCTTCCTCCTCCACGCGTTCTCGCGACGTTCTGGCGGCAGTAGCGGAAGCTCCACCAGCTTGGGCCGACTTTTTCGAATTGAGTGACGACATGGACAGCGGAGCGCCGTGCCGCCGAAGCCTGTCAACTCCCAACAGTTGGGCGGCGGCGGCGGCGGCGCGAGGATTAGCACTTAGAGTTGTTGACCCCTATGCGAGCGCGTCACGCGACAGTTCACATCCTACTTTGCAAGATACAGGGTCTAACCGGATATTTGAAAGCTCAAGCTCAAGCTTCGGAAGCTCGTCGCAGAGCTCAATTAACGAAAAAATCGCGCGTTGCGACAGCGGCCTCATGAAACAATCGACGTGGTCCAGCGATGCCCTGGCGACGCTGGTTTTGCGAAGTTCCGTTTCGGATTCATCAGACTCAGAGGGTTCATGCGAGGATTGCGCCGGGGATTGCGGCGCATGTGACAAATGTGTGTTTTCCGCAGGGAAAGCCCTCAAGCCAACTCGACGCGCGAGCTTTGCGGCCCCCGATCTCGCGATTTGCCCCCACTGTCGTAGCAGCGGCGGTCGGCGGTGCGGCTGTGCCGACGCGGCCTTAGCGTGCGATCCTGGGTGGGTGGATAACGCGCGCTGCCGCATTCGCGATGCGGCGCTTGAGCTGGTCGAAGCGCAGCAACGGTGGACCGTTGCTCACGAGGAGGAGTTGACGTGGCTGGAAAAGTCTCGACCCGCGCCGACACGCCTCTCGCGGCGCGCCTCGCTCGACGCGTCGCTGTGCCGTTTTCCTACAAGTTCATCTAGGACCGCTAGGAAGGCATGCCACGTGGAAGCGAAGGAGAAGGTTGAGGTGGAGACAGGCGTGAGTGCTTGCCCCGTTACAAGCAGCACCAGTGGGCGTACAAAAGGGGGGAGTCGCTTGTTTTCCTCGTTAAAATCTCCGATGGTGAAAAAAAACAGGGTGTTTTCGTGGCTGTACACTTCATAAGCATGAATACAAATGATATAATTCACATGCTTTATTTATCCACAGGCTGATGTTAGGCTGCAGCTGGCATATACAGTACAAAATCGTTTTGCTATCACCCAGGCCTTGGAATCTTGGATAAGTCAGGTATCCAGAGGGCAAGGAGCATGGATGCTGTGGCAAACATGAGTCTACGCGGGGCCCATTTCACCACTGAAGGGACCCCGGCATGATTACCCCAGGTTGCCACCTGCATTGGTGGAGTTGAAAGAGGAAATGAAAAGACAGGAATGGGGGAAAAGCGAAGAGGGTTATGTGCTTGCATGTAATGTTGCATGCATCATTGCATGTGTGCTTGCGTGCATTACTGCAAGGGTGCTTGCACGTGCGTCACTGCAAGTTTGCTTGCATGCATCATAGAATGTGTGGTTCCATGTGCGAGCGAGCAAGGGCGAAATGGAAGAGGGAGAGGGAGAAAGAACCATGGGACATGGTGGGGAGCCAACCTGAGCGCCAGTTGTGGCACTCCAAGCCTTCACCGTGCCATCACCCGAACCTGATGGCAGATATCAGTGAGGAGAGAGCAGAGAGCAGCAAGGAGAGAGGAGAGAGGAGAGAGGAGAGAGGAGAGAGGAGAGAAGAGAGGAGGGTCGAGAGCAGAACGCTGACAACTGAGTTGACATACACATCATTGCCATCCCAGGATTCTGATAGCAGATTGTGTGAAGTGTCAGGAGAAGCAATGACGAGATCTGGAACAGTGAAACGAGATAAAACATGAATGGGCGGCAGACGCGAAAAGGCAGGTGTAGAGTATTTGACCCTCTACGAGTAGTAAGAAGATCATGACTTGGATGTATGTACCTGATACAACGTATTTGGCATCTGGGCTGAAAGAGGCTTCCAACGGGGCGCCATCAATATCGGGAACCACGCAGAGGGTGTGTAGCTGGTGGTGAGAGGGAGAGGAGGAGCAAGGGAGGGAGGCAAGGAAGAAGGGGCACATGCTGAGAGGCAGGGCACTGGGTCACCATCGATATCGGGTACGACACAGAGAGTGTTTAGCTGGTGGTGGGAGGGAGAGGCGGAGCTAGGGAGGGAGGGATTGAGGGCACCATTGATATAGAGTACCAGTGAGAAGGGGGAAGGGAGGTAGGTATGGAGCGAGGGAGGGAGGGAGGAAGGGAGGGCGGGAGGTGCTTCAAACATGTCCAGCAGGGTAGTAGATGCGGCCATTGAGAGACAGATGCTGCTTTGCCACAACCCTGTGCCAAACCCAACCCTGTGCCAAACCCAACCCTGTGCTACAGCCCATGCAGTATCCCCTAAGGCACACCTTCTGGCCTTCGAACGCGTCCAGCAGGTAGATACGGCCGTTGAGAGTGCAGACGAGGATCTGATTGCCATCGTTGCTGAACTTGATTGATGTCACCTCGTCCTCATCTCCGCCCACCAGCATTGTGTCAAAGGGACCCTGCGGGAAGGGGGGGAGAAGGAGAGGGAAACGAGAGAGGAGGAAAAATGATGGGAAGAAAAGGGGAGAGTAGGAGAGAGAGCAGCAGAGAGGGAGGGAAGGGGGGGAAGAGAAGGGGAAAAGGTGCAGAGGGGGGGAGGGAAAAAGACTGAGAAGGTTCCGATTGCCATTGTTGATTTTGGTAAATCTCACCTCATCCTGACTGCCAGACCCAAACAGGGCAATCAACTGCGCTGCCTGGCCCACACACGCACGTTCTCGTAGGAGAGAGAGTGTCAAACAGAACAGCCCTCCGCCCATGGCCCTTCCAAGCACAGGGCGGTCAGGATGGGAGGGATAAGGGGTCGCTGCCTTGTTAGCACTCACCTTCTCATACGAGCGAGCGTCAAACAGCTTCACCGCGCCTCCCCCCATGGCCACTGCAAAGACCAGCCCCTGCTGGTCAAACGCCACTGCTGGCCGCCCCCTCACGCGCATCAAGCCCTGGAGAATGAGTCGGGAAGGGAGGGTTGGGGGAATGGGAGGATGGGAGGAAGGATGGGTGAAACATTGGAGAAGAGAAGAGGGCACCGGTGAGTGAACCAGCCCCTGCTGGTCAAACGCCACTGCTGGCCGCCCCCTCACGCGCATCAAGCCCTGATTGGGGGCGACGGGAGGATGGGTCGAATGCAAGAATGGGGGGAGAAGAGGACGGACAGGATGCAGGAACAGAGAACGAGGCGGGGGTGAGTGAACGAGCCACCTTGCCTTTTGAACGAGCATAGAGCAAGGGGGAAGGGGGGATCAGACGTTTGAAAAGATGGGAGGGAGAGAGGGAGGGAGAGAGTAAGAAGAAGAGGGAGGCGGCGTGACACGCACAACACTCGAGTGCATGGAGCTCTCTGCTCGTTAATGCATCGAGCTCACCAACGCCGAAATCTTTGTGGGCCTTCAACAACTAATCGGCGATGGGTCAAACCACAATGCTGTGTTGGGCCCGCATGCTGCTGACCTGGCACCCATGTGATACCGACCTGGCACCTGTGTGCTGCTGAACTGCTACCCGCAGATGCTGACCTGGCACTCGCACGTCCTGAGGTCCCAAAGGCGGACAGTGTGGTCGAGGGCTCCGGAGAGGAAGGAGTCGTTCTTAGGTGACATGCACAGGGAGACCACTCTGGCGTGGAGGGGAGAAAGTCGAGCAGGGAAGGGGGCCAACAGAGTGCCGGACGAAGAAAAAAAAAAAAAAAAAAAAAAAAAAAAAAAAAAACGTAAAGAAGAGAGAGAACGATGTGCAAGGGTGCCGGAGAGGAAGGGTTCGTTTATAGGTGACATGCACAGGGAGGGAGACGACTCTGCAAGCGAGACAGGTGAGCGGAAAGGAGGGGTGTCAACGATATAGCGCTGAAGGGGCAACGAACGAGTTGAGTGGAGCCATAGAGGGGGGGAGGGAGGGAAGGGAATCGTTCTTGCATGACATGCTCAGGGAGACAACTCTGGTGAGGGATGGGACTGGGTGGGGTGGAGGGTTGGTGGGGTGGGGTGGGGTGGGGTGGGGTGGGGTGGGGTGGGGGAAAGAGAAGGGGTCGACTCAAGTTGGCCGTAAAAGGACTTTGATATGGTGCTGACTGGAGCACTCACTTGTCTCAATGATATGGTGCTGACTGGAGCACTCACTTGTCTCAATGATATGGTGCTGACTGGAGCACTCACTTGTCTCAATGATATGGTGCTGACTGGAGCACTCACTTGTCTCAATGATATGGTGCTGACTGGAGCACTCACTTGTCTCAATGATATGGTGCTGACTGGAGCACTCACTTGTCTCAATGACCTGTGAAGTGGCGCTGGTAGTGGTGAATCCTGAGCCGAATCACATCATCCCAATTCCAATGTGCTTCGACTCGACTCTAGCCAACTCAGAAACCCTAAATTCCGATATGTTAGCTACAGGAGCACTCACTCACTTGTCTCGGTGGCCTTTGAAGTAGCGCAGGTAGCGGTTGTCGTAGAGGGAGAGATAACGCAGCGACTCTGTTAAGGGGAAAGGGAGGGAGGGAGGGAGGGAGGGAGAGAGGGAGGGAGGGAGGGAGGGAGGGAGGAAGGGAGGGCCCGGTGGCCTTTGAAGTAGTGCAGGTAGCGGTTGTCGTAGAGGGAGAAGATAGAGCAGCGACTCTAGGATTGGGGAGGGAGGGTGAGAACGAGGCATTGAGAGAGATTCAAGGCAACAGAACTCGCGTGTTCTGATGACTATCCAAGTAGCGCAGGTAGCAGTTGACGTAGAGGGAGAGATAAGATATACGCTATCATCCTAGTACCTACCAGCCAGATTTACCCAACCATGCACCCTACACGTACCATCCCAGCCGTTTTTGGAGGAGTAGAGCACGGCAGAGGGGTGGTGGGTGAAGACGACCTGATCATAGAGAACCTACCCACCCCCAACGACCACCCATAACGTACCATCCCAGCCGTTCTTGGAGGAGTAGAGCACAGCAGAGGGGTGGTGGGTGAAGACGACCTGATCCACGCCGTACTTCCGGCTGTGAATCGTCTTCACCAGGCTGACGTGGCAGAAAGAGACCAACCATGTCGTGCAGAATAATGCCGGATCATGTTATGCGAAGCAATGTCATACCATGCCATACCATACCATACCATACCATACCATACCATTTCATTCATCCATATACGTCAATCGGAATGTCATTACAGCCAAGCGCATTACGGAACAGTACGGAGAGGAAAGTGTGAGTGACGGAAAACAAAACCTTACAATCGTGCCCGAGGAAGTAAACTTGCTTCATAGGAGAGGAACATTCATGGGACAAGCATCGATAAGCATCAAAGGAAATCGTAGGAAGGCTGGGATACTTCCAATTTAATTACTAGTGGCATCATGAAGCACCAGGGTACCTCGTGCTTACGTGGCATTTGACGTGTCATACACCCGGATGGACTCGTCATCACTCGCCGTCACGAGAAGATCCTCCGTCCGATGGAAGTCCATCGAGTTGATCCGACCGTTCTAGTTTGTCAGGAAACGCAAAAGAAAGACCGTTGAGGGACACGGTGGAGGTGACGGATCACATGAGCGGGAAACACACGCGATAGGGGACGGAAATCCAGCGGTAGACTGAATTCAAAAGGGGTCTAAATTGAAATAAGGAATTTGAGCTATTAGGCTGCATTCTAATGATGTGAATGAGCTAGTAAAAACAATTGTTGAACAGAAACAAGGAGAGGCTAAAGATGCGTCTTCCGCGTACTTCGTCTTTAAACTAGTAAGATAAAGAGACGTCATCACGAGGTAAACATAAGTGAGGAGAAAGAGCAAGCGTACATAATCCTTGAACAGCGCGCCGACAGCCATGCTGCTGACAACCCCATCTGATAGAGCTAGAGGCATCGCTCACGACCATGTATCGCTCTTCCTAAATGGGTGTTAACACGAGCACGCTATTATCTTCTCTTCCAATAGACAGTCACGCGAGCAGGTTCCGGAAATGGTCAATCGAGCTAGAGCCGCTACCTATCGGAATCCAGGAAAACAAGCGACTGATGGCGCTGCGATTGTCTGTCTTCGATCGAGCGACAACACGAGGAAGGAACGTTTGACACGAGGAAGTTGACGAGTGTCAACAAAACCAGGAAAGAGCTAGTGTCTAGCCGAGATAGTGTTTTAAACACTTCGTACGATGATGAGCAATACATTTGAGTTCGAGTAACTTTCAACATAATCAATTCTCCTTGTTACTGTAACTATACCTGGGTTTATTATGGGTTACACGGAATCATGCACAATGGAGAATGAAATCCAGCCTTTCTTTTCTCTACAGAGTTCCTACCTCCCAAAATCTGCTGGTCTATGAACAAGTCTACTCTGAAATGCTTACGCATTCACAATCACCCCACCTGCACAGCACAGACACCAACATCGTGATCACTAAGGCTGACAAAAATAAACGCACGTATGAATGAAATAAAACGTCCATTCTTACCATTCGGGTGGAGCACTTGGCCAGTGAAGTAAGAGGAATCGTCACATGCGAGGAACACATAGGACGGGGCAATCTCATCTGGCTGAGCCACCCTCTTCATGGGAACCTGCTTGCCAAACCCTTCTACCTCCTCCTCAAAGGAAGCCGGGATAAGCGGCGTCCACACAGGACCAGGCGCCACACCTGCACAACAGCAAGTAGTGTGGCTTATCATATTCATATGTATTTTGAATCACGACAACTCACATTTTCTGGCCAAGCTAAAACAGCAGGCACAGATGTCATATGCAGCATGGCGACAAAAATATACCATACTCAAAAATTCACGCGAATGCCCTTGTCAACCACCATGAGGGCAAGGGAGCGAGTGAGACCAACAATGGCGGCCTTGGTGGTGGAGTAGGGGAGGAGGGTGGGGTTGCCGCTGTATGCAGCCACTGAGGTGGTGTTGATGATGCAGCTGCCCTCCTTCATGTGAGGCAGCGCATACCTGCATATACAAAGGCACGGAAAACAGACACACAAAGGTGAGATTGTAAACCCGCCACATGGTTGAAAGCCAAGACCAGACAAAAACCCTGATTTTCAGATTCCAACAACAAGATCAGGGCAATCATGCCAGAGGCAAGTGCTGTCATCGCAAAAAGCCAATTTCACCATGCAACATCCTTGCATGACATGTACTTTGCCCTGATCTGGAAGTAGAAGTAGGCATGGCTGTGCTAGCGTTGTGAGTAAAGTGATTACTTGGTCATATAGAAGTAGGCATGGATGTTGGTCTGGAAGGTGCGGTCCCACTCCTCAGGGGAGATCTCCTCCAGGGTCTTGTGGGTGTGCTGCTCCGCTGCGTTGTTCACCAGCACGTCTATGTTCCCCCCAAAGTGCTCCGATACCTTTCGCACCACCTGCTCCCATGCGAGAAATTATGAAGAAAACAAGACAAACTGGGCCAGGATTGCATGGCAAGTCCAACCCTGCAACGAATAAGGGAAACACCGAAATAGACACAAAATTTGAAATGGCCAATAGCATTTAAGTACCTCAAGCACCATCTTCTTGGCAAATATGATCAATCGGAAACATTTCACACAAATGACCAGATTTTAGTATGAAATAAATTTCATGACGAAACGAAACTAAACTCCATCATGGTCTCACCTCCTTGCAGTCCTCATGCTGCCCTAGGTCGACAGGAATGGCGAGCGGCTGCTTGTGCTCGGGGCGCTGGGCATCTCGCAGCAAGCGAAGGGTCTCCTGGGCGTCCTTGTCCTCCCGCGGCGACACGTACGTGAACGCCACCGCAGCTCCCTCCAACGCGAAATGGTGCGCCACGCTCCTGCCAATGCCAGAATCGCCTCCCGTGATCAGCGCGATCTTACCCTGGAGCGAGAAAAAAAAAGGTGAAGAGAGCAGCAGAGGAACTAATGGGCAGCGAGACAAGCATAGGCATCATATCCGAGCTGTTAGAAGGGTTGACGAGCCCTTACGCTACAAAATGATTCCATACCTTAGAAACGACTTCAAATCAATACTCACCTCAATTGGATGCACCCAGGGACTCACTTTGAGCTTGTCGGCCGGCTTGTACGCATGGCTTGTAAATCGAACCTCCAATCAAAGTCACCTCACTTCGTTGCACCCAGGCGCGCACCTTGAGCTTGTCGGCCGGCTTGTACGCCTCGCGAGTGACGGACGGCCGCGGCTCCATCTCGTGCTGCACGCCGGGCTGCTGCGCCTGGCGCTGCGCGGGAATAGTCGTTGCCATGGCGTGAAGCTAAGCTGCGAGACTGAGTGAGTGCCTTGCTGCTGCTGATGAGGTGTAACACAAGCTGCGAGAAGCGCAAATGGAAAGCAGCTGGAAGCGAATGCTGGAAGCTAGCGCAGGGGACGAGGAATTTGGAAATAGTTTCTTATGGAGCGAGCTATGTAAGGGACAGGCGAGCCGCGCTGCGCACGCGACGCCATGAGAACACCACGGAGATACGTCATTCTCAATAATCTATCCAAGCATGCCAATTCAGGCATGCCAATGCACAGGCATGCTAACTTCAGACATGCCGAAGAGGTGCGCATGAGAGAGCTGCGACGCTCGGACTCGCACGCTCACCACAGCCTGCGAGCGACACGAGGACGCGAGATGGCATCGGTCGCCGTGAAAGGCGCTGATGACCTCCATGCACGCTGCCAGCTGTTCATCGTGCCTGTTCCGGGAAGTATTGAGAAGAATGAGCAGAAAGAGAACGAAAATGAGCATTTGGGCGGGGTAGAGCATGCACACACAAAATCCTTCCTGAAGGTGAATTGAACACCCTCTCAACCCATAGCACCTGAAAAACTTGCAAGAAGAAGTTAATGATTTAAGTAAACAATCGGCCCATTAGCTCAGCTGGTTAGAGCGTCGTGCTAATAACGCGAAGGTCACAGGTTCGAAACCCGTATGCGCCATCGCTAGTTTCAGGTCAAGTGGTGTTGACAGCGCCCTCTGACAGGGACTCAGGTTTTTTTTCCCTGTTCAGCTTCTGCGTCCTTGCTTTCTCAAAGATGTGAGCACTGAATACGGTCCTCTTGGCTCTGACAGCATTCACTACTACGCTACCTCGCAAAGTGACAATGTTAACAGGTTCTGTCCTATGAGACCTTAAACCCTTTTGTGCTCATACTTGAGACCGCGGAGCTTTTCAATCTCTCTTTCCACGCTGCTGAATGAGTGGTGGATGTACGCTGCAAGCAGTACAAACCTGCACAGGGAAAATTCAGAACGAACCACCGTTGAGTATCAATTGAACACTACGATGCTTATCAATAAGGGCTAAGCAACAACAAATGTGTAACACAGAAGAGGAGAAGCAGCCGAGTAGTGGGATGGTGGTGACGGGCCAACAAACAACTGGAGATGCAGGAGAGTTTAACAGACATGAGAGGAGCAGGGGTGGCAAGCACTCTTACACTGCATTTGTGAGGGGTAACCAGAAGAGCCGCCACCGGAATGGTGTTGCCAACCTGGCAGTTTAGTCATGACACGAGAATGAATATTGGAAAGCAAGCAAAGGGTACAAGGAAGATTAGGGCGTGACATAAGACTACACAGAAATTTGCATCCACACCTTCACAACACAATCATGTGTTCTGTAAGGAAGGAAAACTACACCATTATTGGGCCCATTACACAGCACTGCGTCCTGTAGCATGGAAAGAAGCTATTTTTTGTGGAGAGAAAAATCTTTCGAACGGGCAGACGAGCAGCAATACGCACTGTAGCAGGGTATAGCATTAGAAGGGTGTAGCACAAAAAGAACTGGCTTCAAACATCGATACGTACTGTGAAAGGGTGTAGCACCAGAAGAATGCGAGTGCTACGGTGAGAGCAGCAGAGGAGGAGAAGAGGAGGTGGCGTGTAGCGCCATACAGCCAGAGAGAGGCAAGGAGAAAGACGGAGGCTGCTATTGATGCCACGTCTGAAGGAGAGAAGGGAAGGGAAGGAAGGGAGGGGAGAGGGAAGGAGGGGGAGTGATAGGGAGGGTGAAGAGCAGGTGATGCGTGGAGCCGTGCAGGCCGAGAGAGTGAAGAAGAAGGGCAGAGGCTGTTACAGATGCCACATCTGAGAGAGAGGAAAGACGGAGCGGAAGGGAGGGAAGTTGGAAGGAGCGGGTGAGAAGGGAGGGAAGTTGGAAAGGCAGGAAGTTGGAAGGAGCGGTTTCCTGCCTTTCCTGCCTTTCCTGCCTTTCCTGCCTTTCCTGCCTTTCCTGCCTTTCCTGCCTTTCCTGCATTTCCTGCCTTTCCTGCCTTTCCTGCCTTTCCTGCATTTCCTGCCTTTCCTGCCTTTCCTGCCTTTCCTGCCTTTCCTGTGTTTGACAACAATAAAACAGGAGTACCGGAGAGAGCGCTATGGGGATGTGAGGAGTGTGAAGCAGGTGAGAGAAGGAGCGGGAGGGAGAGGTGGCATACCAGCAGCAGCAAGAGTAGCGAAGTCGAGAATTTGCCGCAGCTCTGCATTCCTCCTCTGATTGATGTAGCAAAGGGAAGAGGAAAAACAAAAGGATCATTCAAATCAATAAGTCTGAGCTTGGGAGTGCAACCCAAAATGGGGAGCAGTTCTTATGAGGAGCTTTAACGATAAGTGAGAAACAGCAGTGATGTTGAAACACGAGGAGGAACACAAAGATGCACTATGAGAAGGTAAGCCGAGAAAATCAAGACTGACAGGAGCGCGGAGAGATGAGAGGATGATGAGAGGATGATGAGAGGACAAGAGGAGGGATAGCCAGAAAGTGAGGATGCTAATGCATTCGGTGGTGTGTCAGGAATGCCACATGGATTTTTCAGACACACATATGCACACACGCACACGCTCACACATGCGCTCGCGCACGCCCGCGCATGCTTGCATGCACGCACGCACATGCGCGCTCACGCTCACGCTCACGCTCGCACGCGCCTGCGCGCACGCACACACTCACACGCACACACACCTGGGTCCAGGGGGAGACCACGAGGCTGATGACCCCATGCACCATGAATGATGCATACAGCCTTGTGAATGGCACATGGCACATGGCACATGGCACATGGCACATGGCACATGGCACATGGCACATGGCCCTTCATGAAAGGCACATTTCCCCCCCCCCCCCCCCCCCCCCCCCCCCCCCCCTTCACACACCTGGGTCCAGGGAGAGACCACGAGGTTGACGACCCCATGCACCATGAACGATGCATACGGCCTTGTGAATGGCACATGGCACATGGCACATGGCACATGGCACATGGCCCTTCATGAAAAGCACATCCCCCCCCCCCCCCCCCCCCTCCTTCACACACCTGGCTCCAGGGAGAGACCACGAGGTTGATGACCCCATGCACCATGAATGATGCATACGCAAGCAGCAACAGCGATATGCAGATCTGCAAGCCAGACAAGGGGAATTGCAGCGCACAGTAAAGGGAAAAAAGAGACCCTTAGGAGCACAAGTGGAACAGGCTGCGACGGGCAGGCACATTAAGTGCCATTTTCTGCTTATAATGCAGATTAAGTGTACGGAAGAAGCCGTGAGACGCACGCATATGTGAACAGAGAAAAATCTCCACTCGACTCAGAAGTCACTTGCCGAGTCCTACTTGAGTGAGATGCAGGCACATACACAGGACAGAACAGGGATCGATAGTTATAAGTTTATCAAACGAAAACACACACCCACTGACCTTCCAGAAACGAAATGACTCGCGGTGTTGCTTCTCAAACGTTGCAATCATCGCCTCCTGCTCTGCATGCCATGCCATGCCATGATGCCATGCCATGCCATGCCATGCCATGCCATGATGCCATGCCATGCCACATTCATTGACATGGCCACATCACATGCCATGCCATTGTCACGCAATGCATCACAACACTTATAATCCCTGCACACTCCGCCTCTTCTTCCCTTCCTCACAAACCTTCCTCCCACCCGCGAATGATAGAGTGAGCGCACATTCACACATTCCCATGCACCCCACCACTTCACATCCCTGCCACTGCGAAGCATCCCAACTCTCTGTTTAGGGAAAATAAAGCAAAAGAGGAAGGCAACACCGCACAACCTTCCCAGCACCATCCTTCCCAGCACCACCCTTCCCAGCACCACCCTTCCCAGCACCACCCTTCCCAGCACCACCGCCCAACCTTGCGTGTCGAGGAAATCTGGCGGCTCATTGCCCTTCCGTGAGGCACTGCTGCCCCCACTCGAGTCGCCGTCCATGGGTGCTCGCTGCCTCATGGTTGGAACAACCCTGGTATACGAACGGAGGGGAGATGGGGAGGGAGGGAGGGAGGGAGGGAGGGAGGGAGGGAGGGAGGGAGGGAGGGAGGGAGGGAGGGAGGGAGGGAGGGGGGAGGGGAGGGAAGAAGGGAGGCTCCTCGCCCTTCCGTGAGGCGGTGCTGCCCCCACTCGAGTCGCCGTCCATGGGTGCTCGCTGCCTCATGGTCGTGCGCGGGTGATTGGCACGCGGCTGGCGCACGCACGGAGGGGAGAGAGAGAGAGGGGGAGGGAGGGAAAGAGGGAGGGAGAAAGGGGAGGGAGGGAGGGGCCAGGAGAAAGAGACTCAGGAGGGAGGGAGGGATCAGGCAGGGCGAGTGGTGGGGACGCGTCGGAGGGGATTGGAGGGTGGGGAGGAGCAGGACGGCCGCGAGGCGGGAAGTTAACGCGATTCGCAGAACAAGACACGCGATTCGGAAGTGGGATGGGCATTTGTAGGGCAGGAGCAACTGGAACCGGGGGGGGGGGGGGGGGGGGGGGGGGGGGGGGGGGGGGGAAGGAGCGCTGGCGGAAAAGGGCTGGCGGAGAGGCGGTGGCGGAAGCGCGGTGGCAGCGAAAGGGCGCACTCTTTAGAGCAGGATTCGCATGAAGTTAGCTTACTATAAGTGTTGAGCGGAGTCGTGCATGGAGTGCTGAGGCTGTACGGTGCGCGTCCAACGTCGCAAAACAGGAGAATCGCTCCTCTTTAGCGGCTTCTGAAATGGAGAGGTGAATTTGCGGATAATCGAAATGAACTCGAGAACCAAAGCTTCTAAACATATTGAAGTCGAGTAATTTCTGAAACTCTTGACTTGTAGCGCGTCCAGTAGTACTGAAGAATTTTAGCCTTCGCCCTCCCGCAGTGTGTTTTTTCAGGGGATGTTTCTTGAATAAATCGGAATGAAACATTGGAACTCTTGAAACTGTTCGAATGTCAATACCCTAAGCATCAAATCAACTGTTGGAACATTCAGCGGGTGTTCTCGTAAGGGCGTGAACCCTACATAGACCGAAATGTTTTGTGCTCTGAACACAATCCCCAAGTTGGGGGAGCGTTTTGTTGAGGCCGTCCGTGATGGATTTCTACGGGTATAACCACCTGATCGTGTGAGCCCCACGTGCCAAAAAGGGCGGGAAACATTTCCCGCTACACCAGCGCAAACCACGCTCAGGCAACACCAATGATTCGTCAGTTCAACCTGCTTTCGCGTGACTCACGGAGCCCGCGGAGCAGAGACACAAATCTCGAATTCGAGGAGCCTCTGCGAACCCCAATCGATTACTTGACTGGCGAACGACAGTTTCAGCGAAAGAGAACACGTCGCAAGCTGCTTCGTTTCGCAAAAGCCGTCAATACCGCAGCTCAGGTGAAAATTTAACGCATGCGGCGCGGTTCCTGGTGGATCCCGGCCATCACGCTCTATGTGAAAAGCAGGTGTGCGTACTCGAGCCGCGTCTCCAAATCTGGCAAAATTCGCCATCCCACCAAATTTGAGAACACCATGAAGCTCAAGGCTTCTTGTGCATACGAATAACTCCCCTCCCAAGCGGGAAAGGCGCTTTCAACAGCAACAGCCTCTCCTGGGAGCATGGCTCACCTGCTGCTCCTGCGCGCAGGGGAAAGTCGACATGAGATTCTAATGACCAACAGAGAAAGGCTAGAGTGTGCAAAGAAACCAGGGGGCGTGCGAGCGAGGACATGGATAGCTCAACACTTGCGCTTGCAGACAGTCTTAATCGCTGTCCTAAGGACGTGCAGGAGGGGTCCGCATCCCCCCGCATCCCCTCATCTCCGCATCTTCCATACAGACATCACACCCACGCCACTTGCAGAATCTGCAAGAATCCCGCGCCTTTTCTCCAATCCCGTCCTACTACTGTTCGTCCTGCATTTATAAGACCGTAAGCGGACAGCACGCCGCTTGATCTTTATTTTTTCGAGCGCCTGCATCGATGTGCATTCACTAGGAAGATAACTTGAGTTTCCCCCATGCTGCCGCAGCATTAGCGGACCCCGCGCGCTAGTACGGAGAAATCGGACCTGCTTTTTGAGGGAACCGTGACGCGTAGGCCCATCGGTTGAGGCTCATCAGAAGAACACCAGAAGAGCTATGTGGCAATAGAGTAATGACAAGGCTCGTTCCCTTCCCGCACGCCGATTCGTCCTGTCCTCCTGTCGTAAAGACCGTCGCCCGGGACCTTGACCCGTCGCTCGCGATCGCGCGCTTATCGCAGAAGAGAGTTTATAGCAGCAAGAGAAGCGTGCTTATTAGAACTAGTACTACGGGGCCTGGAGGCGCAGCGGCGGCGGGTGCATCCTCGTTGTTCCTGCGCGCGGTGCCCTCCGACCGCTTCAAACCCGCCCCCCCAATCATCTGTCGGCACAGCCCCAATACCCTTTTCCACGCGCCTCGTAAATCATTCTTGCGCCCCCCCTCCTTCCGCGTCGCATCCTGCTGCTCAGTGCCGCTGTCCTCTCGCCTCCTCGCTTATACGCTTTTTAAGGCACACCACAAATCATACCCTCTTCCCGAGTTCCTCCGCCTAGCATCCTCCCGCTCAGTGCTATTCGGTCGCCTCTCCGCCGATACGTACGAGGAGTCCTCGTTTCGCGACTGCGCGCTCTCCAGGGCTTGGCGAGTAACCATCAGTAGGCCCGTAGGCGTTACCATTTCGCTCTGGCGAATATCGAGAGTTAACTATTGCGGCTATACACGGTGCGGGGTGCGTCTCTGCCGCGTCTTATTCCCAGATTCATCATCCCGCTATTTCTATCATTTGTATAACCAAACCCGCGTGACGAGAAACGTCTTACGATTCCTTTATAGTGGGCTCGCGGTTCTCCCGCGGAATAAGCACGCTCGATTTAGGATAGCAGCTCTGGATAACAATGGCGACAGTCGCGCGGTTCCCCCCGCTGCAGCGCACCCAGCGCAGGCGGACGGGCGCGCGGAAAAACCCCCGGTACCTGCAGATTTTCTGGCGTCCGCCGGAGTGCGCGGCCCAGGTTCCTTGGGGGAACCTGCTCCGCCAGTTGTCGGAACCTTGGCGGAAAGATTTCCCGCAAGATCCGCCATGCGTCCGCGACTGTCAGTCCTTGAGCGCGCGTCGTTCCGTGCAATGACGGCGGAGGGGGGAGGGGGGAGGGGCGGGGGAAGCACACCGGTCGCCACTCCGCAGAGCATCGTATGGCAGCGGGCGGCGGCTTCCGCGGTGGCGGCGATACAGGCGGCCGCAGACACGTACGGGGAAGGAGGGGAAGGAAGAGGAGAGGAAGGAGGGGGAGAAAAAGGATCAGGAGACGAAGGGCTTGGTCACGGCGAGGAGTGTGGCAGTACGAGGGCTCGGCAAGATTACCCTCAATGGGGCCGTCGCGGCCGTGGCGAAAGCGAGGCGAAGAGAGATGTGGGTCGCAGCAGGCTGGACCCGCGGGCGGAGGCAAGCCCTGGCGAAGGCGAAGTGAGCACTGGCGAGTTACCACCTCGAGTTAGGTCGAGAATGAGCGAAGCAGGGAACCAGCGAGGACGTTTCTTTTTGCAGCAGGGTACGGACACCGGCTCAGGTGCCGTACTTGGAGAGGCTGGTAACCAGGTAACACCAGCAAGTGGGTCTGCGGGTGTCGAACAAAGACCGTGGGGTGGTGTATCGCCTGGCGTGGTAACTTGGAGTGGCACGTCGGCTGCTATATCGCCAGGTATTTCGCCAGGTATATCGCCAGTTCTGTCGCCAGGTATTTTGTCTGGCATATCGCCGCCAGAGGTTTCAGAATTTGTGTGGGGGGAGCAGGACCGCGGGAGCTTCGCTGCGGGGAGGGGCGCACCAGGGGGCACGCCGGGGGGAGCGGGAAGGTGGCGGGGTGGGGAGGCAGCGGCGGAATGGCGGGTCTCGCAGAGGGGGCATGCGCAGGGGACAGCAGCGGAACGTGCGCGGAACGCGGATGGCAGGAGCGCGGATGGCGCGCAAGGGGAGGGTGGCGGGGAGGGGAAGCCTCCCGCGCATGGCGTGCGGAGTCGACTCTCTCCCTTGCGGCGCGGGCTGCGGCGAGAAACCTCCCCGTTAGCAGGCAGTTACGCGCTGCTGAGCGGAGACTCCCCCCCTGCGCGCAGTGCGCTTCTGAGTGGCGCTTCTCCGCCCGCGCGTGGCCCAGCGGCTAGCGCGGTCTCCCCGCTTGCGCCCACCAGCGCGCTGCTGACTAGAGTCTCTCCGCCCGCAGGTAGCGCGCTGCTGAGCGGAGTTTCTCCTTGTGTGCCCGCCGGGACCTCCCCGCCCGCAGCGCACAGCGCGCTGAGCGCACTCTCTCCGCCCGCAACCAGCGCGCTGGTAAGCTGCGCCTCTCCGCCCGCAGCATACAGCGCGCAGCTGACTGGAGTCTCCCCGCCCGCGACCAGCACGCTTGAACACGACGGCTCTCCCCCCGTAGTTCCCGCGGGTGCAACAGTTCCCGCGGGTGCAACAGTTCCCATACTTCCCGCAGGTGATACCGCTGGCACGGATGAAAAACCTGGCGTGGGAGGCGGCGCTGGTGTTAGCATGGTCAGCATTGCGCCTGCTGTCGTGCCCGCCCCCCCGTGTTACTCCCCTTCCCGCCTGCCTCTTAACCAGTCTCCGCCAAGCCCGTCAGCAGTAGCCCCTACGCCTACTGCTGGCGTGCCTCCTCCCCTTCCTACCGCTGCTGCCAAGCTCCCATCCACCCACTCCTCACAGCCCGCACCACTCTCCACCCCCTCCCACCCCTCCCAACCTTCACACCCCTCCCACCCCTCACTCGCCTCACAGCACGTGCCAGCTAAAGCAGTCCCTCCAGCCCCTCCAGGCAGAACTGCTTCTGAATCCCATGTGCTCACCGCTGCTCCCCGCCCTGCTGCTCCTGCTGATGCCCCCCCTGACGCTGCTGCTCTTGAAGCTGCTCTCCGCGCTGCTGCTTCTGACGCTGCTGCTGCTGACTCTGCTGATGCTGACGCTGATGCCTCTGGCGCTGCTGCAGCAGCCCCTGCTGCCATTCCAGGTAGCACTGCTTCTGAATCCCATGCGCTCACGGCTGCTCCCCGCCCTGCTGCCTCTGACGCTGCTGCTGCTGACGCCATTCCTGCTTCTGCCATTGCCCAGGAGCCACAACCACAGCAGCAGCAGCAGCAGCAGCACCACCACCACCACCAGCAGCACCAGCAGCACCAGCAGCAGCAGCACCAACAGCAGCAGCAGCAGCAGCAGCAGCACCAACAGCAGCAGCAGCAGCAGCAGGGGCAGCAGCAGCAGGGGCAAGAGGAGCAGCAGCAGCAGCCAAAGCCGCAGCCAGCAGACGTGCCTGCCCTACAGCAAAGGCCAGCACCTAACGACCCTCACGCCCTGCCCCCCACCCCAAGCGTCCCCCCTCTCATTCCACGTGTCCCTGACGCCCCAACCATCAGCCCACGTGTCCCTGACGCCCCCTCTATCAGCCCACACGCCCCTTCCGTCAGTCCACGTGTCTCTGACACCCCTTCCATCAGTCCACGTGTCCCCCAGCTATTGCAGGATCTACTGCTGTTCCCGGGGTCCTCTGCAGGCCAGGCTGTAGCGGCGGCTGTAGCTGCTGCTCTGGACAGGTGCTGTGGGGGCAGGGCGGGTGCGGGGAGAACTGGTGGGGGGAGGGTAGGTGGGGGAAGGGATGGGGGGGGGAGAACTGGTGGGGGGTGGGCGGCTGAGGGAAGGGCTGGTGGGGGAAGGGCAGGTGAGGGGAGAGAGGGTGGTGAAAGGGAGGGAGACGGGAGAGTGGGTGGGGGAAGGGCGGGTGAGGGGAGAGTGGGTGGGGGAAGGGCGGGTGAGGGGAGAGTGGGTGGGGGAAGGGCGGGTGAGGGGAGAGTGGGTGGGGGGCGAACGGAAGGGGGGAGGGCGGGCATGGGGGAAGTGGGTGGGGGAGAATTGGGTGAGGGGGGGGATGGTGGAAGCGGAATGGGGGTTGGGAGAGTGGGTTGGGGGGAAACGGGTGGGGAGGGAACGGCAAGAGGGGAGGCTGAGAGGGAGAGAGCAGGGTAAGACGGCATGGGGGGGAAGGGCTGGAGGAAGGGGAAGGTGGAGAGGAGGAAGGAAGGGGAAAGAGGAGGCGTGTTTTGGAGGGAGGGAGTGAGGGAGCGGGAGGTAGGCCAATAGATATGAGAGTGAGTGAGGGTGGTAGTGGTGGAGGGGGGGAGGCGGGAGGATGGGGAGGGAGAAGGGGCAACGTGAGTGGGTGGGGGAGAGGAGTGTGGGTGAGCGGGGGGGAATGGCACCAGGAAGGGGCTGTACCTGGGACAGGGGGGACTGGAGAGGAGGGAGGTGAGGAAGGAGAGGGAAGTTCGGGAGACGACGTGGGAGGAAGTGGAGAGGGAGGAGAAGGAGAAGGAGGGGAAGGAGGAGAGAGAGGGGAACTAGAGGAAGGAGAAAGAGTAACGGGTAGATCAAGGAAAGGAAGGGAGCAAGAGGAGGAGGAAGAGGAGGAGGAGGAAGAGGAGGACGAGGAAGAGGATGCTGCGATGGAGGTGGGGAAAATGGAGAGTGATGATCCTAGGAGGGGCGATGTCAGAAGAGACAAAGCACTCCGGCCAGATGAGAGGCGATACATGGGAAGGGATGGGAGTGGGGAGAGGCAGCAGCAGCAGCAGCAACAGCAACAGCAACAAGCACACTCACAGCTTCCTCCAGAACCCCACCAGCAGTATCAACAACTGCATCCGCATCCACATCAGCAGCAGTCCCATCAGCATCCGCCACGTCAGCAGCAGCAGGAGCAGCGGCCTGTGGCTGTGGCAGAGGTGATGCGGGAACTACAGGCTGTAGCAGGGCTGCTGAGCGGTGTGGGTGAGTGGGATGCGATGCCTCAGCCTCGCTCCCGTGCCGCACATGCAGTGCGCAGTAATTGGAGTATGCATAGAAGTACAGTAAATACGCTGGACAGCGATTACACTGAAGCAAATACGGAGCGAGTGCAAGGATTTACGACGAATGCTGACGCTGGTAGTGCTGCTAGAGGAGTGGGGAGAGGGGGATTGCTGGAGGATTGTAGTACTGAGACCGGGGGTGGGGGTGTTGCGGAAAGAGAACGTGATACCAACACTCGTGGCAGGAGCAGGTTAACAAGGGACGGCCAAGACAGCTTGGCTGGCGAACACCGCGTGGAGACTCCGGAAGGTCATTGAGCACGGTTTCTATGCGGTAATAAGGTTCAGTAGTGTTGTGTATTACCGATTTGCCGCTTGCTACGATTGGACTAACAATAGATAAAGACTTCACAACCTTTGTACCGTAAGTGGGAATGCATCGTGCAGCAGCTGTTGTATCATGAACTTCTTGTACCATGCTATACTTCATCTTCAACGGATTTTATGTTAATATGCATCGTATTCCTAATTGGTTGTATTTAATCCATGCAAACCTGTCTGTGACTTTTTGTAAAGTCGATTTCCTTACAGACGAGACAAGTGTTTCACACGTCGAGGCTATGCTCGTTTGACTTGAAGCGGGCGGAAGCAAACGGACTTGGGACTGGATTGGATCCTCATGGCAATTTCCAGGGCGTGTCAAACAGCGCAACTTGGTCTGTTCTTGTAGTTTCGGTGTTTAGAAAGGTGATTAGCGGTTCAGAGCGTTTATTTTGTCATACCATTTTAAAGAGTTCAGAAACGTACTCAACCGTTAGTCTCCCGACAAGTCGTGAGTTCTGCACATTTGGGGACTCTCCCTTACAGGGAACTGGAGATTCAGGCCCAGTTCGGCAGCCAGGGGGAAGCAATTTTGCTGGAAGGTTATCGGAAGGTGAGGCTCGCGTCAACCCAGGGTCAACGAATTTTGACCCTGGGTTGACTGCTCCGCGGAAAACCTGCGCCATGGGGGAACTGGCGCAGATTGGAGGGGGGGGATACGAAAAAGCGCCGCAGGAGAGATGCACATTTGGCCTCGAATTCGAAAGTTCCTGGGCACTGTTGCGGAAAACAGAAACACACGCCCAAAAAAAAAATAGAGCTTCGCGCCCATAGCTGATGGGGAAACCCTGAAGAAACACATCTACCTCCTCTCGTAGTATTCCGTGCTACCCTGGGCCTCAGTTGGAGGTCGGGCAATGGCTGCTGCGGACACATAAGGGCGCGTGTATTTTGAGAATTTGGGCCAAGTTCATGTTTTTTGTCGAACTTTCACATTTGAACTCTGGTCGACCTAGGCTCGACCATCTCGACTTTTGGTGGTCGAGGAGCACCATCAACAAGCCCGAGTCGCGCATGGAACAACAAAGTTCGACCATCAAAGTTGAACTTCAAACAGTTAACCTAGACTCGCGCTAAATTTTCGTAGGTTACCCGGATTCGCAGTACCGTTCGTGACCTATTCCGGATTCTGTAATCCAGTAAACTGTATCTCGCGAATGTCGTGAACCTCGCAATCGTTCGTGCGTACGCAAATGAACACACGATTGGATTTGCGTAAACGAAAACATTCTAATGAAAGGTCGACTTTAGCTCGTGTCCAGCTTCTTCCACACAGTTTGAACTAGGACACACGATTACCAGCAAAAGCTCGACTTTTTTTTCGAACGTCTACACCAAAAGACACGCGCCCTGAATGATGTGAAATTGATAATACTCGTACATTCGGAGAGCACTGTCGAGAGTGATTTCTGTTTGCTGACAGCGTTTGTGGTGATCCGTTTCTCGCTTCCCTCGTTGTTTAAAATTTCCTTGTCTTTCTCGCGAGCGAGCGAGCATGCTGGGTCGAAGGCGCAAGCAGCAGCAGCAGCCGCCGAAGCAGCAGCGGGTTCGCGAATCCGATTCGGAGTCCGAAGAGGCGGAGCGACAGCCGGTGGTCGAGCGGACGATTGTGGTGGACCATGGCGATTATTCCTCCTCCTGCGGCTACTGCCGAGGCGCTCGCGGCTCCAGCCACTCCCATGGTCAGGATCCCCCCCATTCAGCATCTCTGTCGTGCATTTCCGTATCAGCAATTCTTATCGGAGTTTCCGTCCGTTTCAACGTATTGTGTGTCCGTTTAAAATATGAATTGATATTTCGAGCTTCTCCTTTTTTACCCTTTACAGGAATCACCGCGGAGACTATGGCAGTACAGGACTATCAAGGTACAATGGCTTTTTGCAGGATTGTGTTGTTTGGCAGTGTGACTAATGATTTATTTTTCTTTATTTAAGTGCAGCAGTTTTCAAAGTTTCTTCCAACGTCTCCCTTCACTCCCCTCTGCCCCCTTGTCCCCCCTTTCCCACTGCCACTCGCAGACCTGTTGGACCGTGGCTGGCGTCGCTCGGGTTGTTTCCTCTACAAGCCCGATATGCCCCGCACCTGCTGCCCGGCCTACACCATTCGCCTCGTGGCGGGGCGGTTTCAGCCCAACAAGGAGCAGCGCAAGGTGCTCCGGCGCATGGAGAGGTTTCTTAGCGGAGAACTCGACCTTCCGCCCCCCAGACCCAGAGATTCCTCCGCTAATCTTCCCGGCCCTGCTTCAAACTCGGGCGCAGGTTCAGGTTCAGGTTCGGGTGAAAATTCAGGTGCAAAGCCGCAGCAATCAGACCCTGCAAAGGGGCACGCCCCGGGGGAGGCACGGATGGAAGGGGCTTCGACTGGGGGTCTGGAGCATGGACCTTTGGCAGCAGTGCAGGCGCGTGTTGAAGGGGTTCTGAACGGGGTGTTGCAGCAGTGGAGGGAGCAGGGGATTTTGCCTGGCAGCCTGCTGCTACCTGCTGTGACTCTTAGATCTGTTCCTGTCAGCGTGAGGGCGAGAGTCGGGGAGGAGAAAGGAGGGGAGCGTGGGGAGGGAGGGAAAAGGAATGCAGGCAAGGCTGGGAAGGGGAAGGGAGGGGAGGGAGGGGCAGGAGGGGCCGGGGAAAGCCGGCAAAAGGATGTGCCCGCCCCTCTGCCAGTGCTGACGTCAAACATTGCGTTTCTGATCTGCTCCGGGTTCAAGAAAACGCAGCCGAAGCAGCAGCCAGGGGTGAATAACCCACAGCAAACAGCAAGCGGGGAAAGAGGGGGCACAGTGCTTTCAACCTCTAGCGCTCAGGATATAGCGACGAAACTGGTTGCAGAAGTAGAGGCAGGGTTGCAGGGCGGGGAGTTGCCAGGGGGAGTGTGTGTGAGGGCCGTGCATGGGCATGTGAACGTGCTGGCGCCTGCTAGTCTGCTGCATGGTGGTGGCTTGACAACAAGCACACATCAAGAGCAACGGCAACAAGAGCGGCAGCAGCAGCAGCAGCAGCAGGGGGGACAGCAACAGCTGCAGCAACAGAAGGACCAGCAGAAGCAGGAGAAGCAGCGCACGCCACGGCGCCTAGAGATAACAACCCACCCGTCGGCGTTCACACAGGAGGAGTACAACCTCTACCGCAAGTACCAGATCCACGTGCATGATGACAAGCCCTCCTCAGTCACCCGACGAGGCTACGAGAATTTCCTTGTCAACACCCCCCTCATACACGTCCCCTCACCTGCTCCTCCCGCTTCCGCTCCTCCCCACTCCCCTCCGCTCCACCCACACTCAGTCCCGCCCCTAGAAGCACCTGCGCCTGCCTCAGCGCCCCTCCCTTCCTGTGGATACGGGTCTTTTCACCAGCAGTACCGGATCGACGGGCGCTTAGTGGCTGTGGGGGTGGTGGACGTGCTTCCGCGCTGCCTCTCATCTAAGTATCTCTTTTGGGACCCAGACTACGCGTTTCTGTCTTTGGGAAAATTCTCCGCACTTAAGGAGATAGAGTGGGTGCAGCGCGAGCAGCAGCGGCGTCCCGAGCTCTTACTGGATTCGTACTATATGGGATATTACATCCATTCCTGCCCCAAGATGACTTACAAGGCCGCGTACGCACCGTCGGATCTGCTCTGCCCTCTGCGCTACATGTGAGTTCTTTTAGCCTGTGAAATGGACAATTCTTCCTCCTCTCCTGAGCTCCCACTTTTGGCACTTCCCCCTCACACTACCCTCCACCTGCAAAGCTTCCTACCTCCTCCTCCCAACCCTACCTGTAAAATCCCCCTCCCGTCCCCCTTCCCCCCTCCTCGCCTCCACTTATCAGCTGGGTACTCTTCGCCCTTGCCTGCTTTCTTCTAAACCATTTTCCCTATCCTGTTCCTTCCTCAGTTCTGTCAAAACACCCTCATGCGCCACCATTGCTCCCGCTCTCAAGGGGAGGACAGCCCTTTCCCTCCCCAGAAAACACCCTCCAACCTTTTCCCAGAATCTCCAAACCCCCACACCCTCCCCCCACCCCCCCGTCCCCCTTTCCTCCCCATCAGGTGGGTTCCCTTCACCCTTGCCCGCCCTCTCCTCGATCCCCCGCCCCCTCGCCGTTCCCTTCTCTGCTCTGCCGAAACACCCCTCCTACCTTCCCCGATCTACTACTCCCCCCTCAAACCACCCCTCCCCCCATCAGGTGGGTGCCATGCACCCTCGCCCGCCCTCTCCTCGACCGCTCCCCCTACGTTGTTCTCTCCTCCGCGCTGCCAAAGCACCCCCACACCCCGGCCAGCCTTCCCTCTCTCACAAGCCCCCACCATCAGCCTCTCTCTTCCACGGAAGGAGACAGGGCTACAGTGGGAAAGGGGCGAGAGGAGGGGGCGAGAGAGGCAGTGCGAGGGTATACAGGGGTGGGTGGGGGACAGACCGAAGCAGAGAGAGCAGAGGCGCGAGAATTACAGCCTGCTGCTGAGAGAGGGGCTGGGGGGTTGGACGAGGCGAGTAGCAGGGAGGATACTAACGAGTATGGAGTGCAGGGAGGGGTGTACAGGGCCCAAGAGGACAGGAAAGGGGGCCAGGGAGGGGAAGATGGGATGGAGGTTGATGAGGGAAGGGAAGGAGAGGGGCGGAGAGGGGTGGGAGGAGGAGGGAGAGAAGTGGGTGGGAGTGAGTGTGGAGGAGGAGGGGAGAGATGGCCGGAGGAGTTGAGTGAGGAGGAGCGGCAAGAGAGGAGCAGGGAGGTGGCAGCAACGGTGATGGCCATGCCGTTGCTCATCAACGGCTCCTTGCAGATCAGCTTCTCGGTGAGTGTTGGGATACCTGTGTGACTGTGTCAGAGCGTGGGATGAACTCTTTGTCAGTGTTTGTAGAAGAAGCGCAGGGTGGGCGCTTTTCAACTGCTACGCTCGCTCTTCTGCTGAGGAGGGGCAGGGGAGAGGCAGGGAGGTGGCAGCAACGGTGCTGGCCATGCCATTGCTCATCAACGGCTCCTTGCAGATCAGCTTTTCTGTGAGTGTGGGTGCAGCTGTAATATTCAGCTCTGCTGTGAGTGTGAGTGTGGTGGTGGGGAAGAAGAGGGAGGGGATTGTGGGAGGGTACTGATTCTTTTTCCCGTATGCGAGATCGCCTGCCATTAGCTGCCAAACATTTCAGTATCCACGCCAAAGCAAGATGCTCAGTTAGTTGGATTTCAGTGGTTCCTGTCTTGACTGTTGAATGATTCTTTTTATACAACTTTTGAGTCGACGGAAGACAACCCTCCCTGATATACACCACTTCACAACCACCAGTTTCTTCCCCTTTCTCATGTCCATCCCACCGTTAGCAACCACTCTAGACTGGTTCGCTTTCCTCTGCTTCCATTCTGACATGATATTTGGTGTTTTCCAATTGAAGTGTTCAAGTCCCCGTCCATTTACCCATCTTGCCCACACACGCTCCCAATTTTTCCCTATCCACCCCACCATCAGCAACTGCTGGAGATGGGCTGGCTTTCCTCTGCCTCCACACGTGCCATAACAGCAGCCCTTAAGACCTTCTGTGAAGCTGCTGGGCCGGAGGCGGCTAGGCGCATTCTCTATGTCGTTAGGTAGTGAAGGAGTTGAGTGCAGCTGTTAATTTCTCGACTTTTAAGGTTGGCGCGTTTCTGCTGCTACATGTGCCATAACGCAGTCCTGTGAAGCTGCGGTTCGCTAGGTGGCCTGGTGCGACCTGCCGTTAGGTAGCTGCTGCAGTAAAGAGTCTCTCCAAATGGTGGTGAGCGTATTGTAGGTAGTTCCGGGCAATGCATCAAGTCCTAACATTTTATGAGATTTCTTACCGTGGATATGCCCGGACGTTTTAGACTCAGGGCTGGGTGTACTGCTAGTTCGGAAACATTTGTTGACTGGTGTCTGCGTCACCAGAAAACAATAGTGGTAAGGGTCAGACACAAATCAAAAGCCGGAAATCGGAGGCTCAATTGGCCCATACAGGTCTCGAACCTGTGACCTTCGTGTTATTAGCACGAGCTGATAATAGGCCGATGACTTTGGATGAATATGCCATAAGTGTAATGTTTTAAAGCCACCGTATTGCATTGCACTCTCTCGCTTTGTAACCCATCTCGTCACTGTCAAGGAATTCAAGCAAATCCTCGTATCTCCGCAAATGTGTCACTCCTTGCTAGCAGAACTCAGGCTTCGTGAACAGAGCAGGTGGCACCATGCATGGTGGTCCTGAGCGCCTTTCACGGCGACCGATGCCATCTCTCATCCTCGTGGCGCTCACAGGCTGTGCGAAGTGTGCCAGACCGAGCGTCACTAGCTCTCTCATGTTGGCCTCATATCCGGAGCTGGAGATTAGGGTGCCAGCTACTGAAGCTGAGACGCTTCCAGACGAGAGATTCATGCGATTGAGGAACGAGAATGTCGTTTCTCGGGGCTGACGTCGCGGCGTCGCGTCCGTGCGTGGTTCCCATCTCCTCCGTTCATAACACACTCTTCACAAGCAGAACCTCATCAGTCGTTCCCTGCACTCCGTCAAGCCTTCGCTTCCATCTGCCTTCCATTCTCGGTCCTCTCGCGGCTTTTTGTTCACCGCAAGAGCAGCTGTCTCGCAGCATTCTATCTTGCAGGTTCGCGCCATGGCCACGCCGTCTCCTCCCGCGCAGCGCCAGGGTCAGCAGCCCGGCGTGCAACACGAGATGGAGCCGCAGCCGTCCGTCACTCGCCAGGCGTACAAGCCCGCCGAAAAACTAAAGGTTTGTATCGTTGAAAGTTTAGAGGCTCGTCAAACTTTTGAACAGGGCTTGAAGTTGATGCTTGAATCTTTTTCTTGCTATCATCCCTTTTGCAGGATAACGTACCTAGCTCTTTGACTAATGTGCCTAAATCTCTGCTTGTTCTATTTCTCGCTGCAGGGTAAGATCGCGCTGATCACGGGAGGCGATTCTGGAATCGGGCGGAGTGTGGCGTATCACTTCGCATTGGAGGGAGCGGCGGTGGCGTTCACGTATGTGTCGCCGCGGGAGGACAAGGACGCCCAGGAGACCCTCCGCTTGCTGCGCGATGCCCAGCGCCCCGAGCACAAGCAGCCGCTCGCCATTCCTGTCGACCTAGGGCAGCATGAGAACTGCAAGGAGGTAGAGAATGTTGGGGGATTTCGTATTGTTCTCCCCTTTTTGGTTCCGTCCGTCCGTTTGTTTGTTTGTTTGTTTGTTTGTTTGTTTGTTTTTTTCCCCTTTCCATTCATGCGGATTCAAAGGTCAAGACGAAAAATGCTTCCTGGTCTTGTCTGCCTTTCCCTTCGTAAAATTTATTCGATGGGAGCAGGTGGTGCGGAAGGTGGCGGAGCACTTTGGGCGGAACATAGACGTGCTGGTTAACAACGCAGCAGAGCAGCACACCCACAAGACCCTCGAGGAGATCTCCCCTGAGGAGTGGGACCGCACCTTCAAGACCAACATCCACGCCTACTTCTACATGGCAAAGTAATGACGACATGCACCACTTGCATCTCACTGGCATGTTAAGCATGGCGCCGATGTAGTTAGCAGCCGATGCAATGTCTTCAAGGTCAGTATGTTTTGGTTAATGTCTCAATTCTTTTGCATCTGCAGGTATGCTTTGCCTCACATGAAGGAAGGCAGCTGCATCATCAACACCACCTCGGTCACTGCGTACAAGGGCAATCCCTCTCTGCTGCCGTATTCCACCACAAAGGCTGCCATTGTTGGTCTAACTCGCTCCCTCGCCCTCATGGTGGTTGACAAGGGCATCCGGGTGAATGGTACGTATGATGTTATCATCACGTGCCACCATTGCAACCTACTCGTACCTAGTAGGGTGCCTTGAGAATAATGTCAAACCGCAATGCTTGCAATTTCACAGGTGTGGCGCCTGGACCTGTGTGGACGCCACTCATCCCAGCCTCATTTGAGGAGGAGAAGGTGGAAGGGTTTGGCAAGGAGGTACCCATGAAGAGGGTGGCGCAGCCGGATGAGATTGCCCCGTCCTACGTGTTTCTGGCGTGTGATGATTCCTCGTACTTCACTGGGCAAGTGCTCCACCCCAATGGTATGAGCCTTTTTTTAAGGGAGTGGTTTTTCTTTTCTGATTTATGGCAATATACTGACAAAGACTGTTTATGCTGTGCAGGAGGGGTGGTTGTAAATGCGTAGGCATTTCCGTTTGCACTGGATGTTGTAAATGCGTAGGCATTTCCTTGTACATTTGTACTGGATGTTGTGAATGGCGTGGGCATTTTCTTGTACATTCAACATTCTATGCAATCAGCGCATTTTTATTCGAGTGAGTGAACCCTTTTGATGAATTATCGAAATGCCTCAAATATACTAGATTCGATCTTGTAAAACTGATTTGAAGAACCATCGCGGACTAAGTTAACAGTGTCGACACTGTACACATCGAGTAGGCGTCACCTTGACAAGGAAATGATCTCGGGAAATGACTTCTCTCATCCAACCTGGTGCGAGAAAGTAGAAGGTAGCTTGGTAGAAGTCCTGAATCATTCAAGCGCTGTTGCGCTCTTGCCAACCATTTCGGGAGCTCGGTATAGTACCAAGCTACATATTGTCAACCGTTCAGGATAAGAATATGGCCATGGAGGATGTCCAGATGGCTGATATCGCTCCTCCTGAGGAGGTGGGTGAAAAGCCTCGTAAAATGTACCGCATTAACTGGAACTTGTAGTGACAAGTCCGAACGCAGGTACGCAGGAGAATTGAAGCGTTAGTCCTGGAATTTCTGCATGGTCTCGTCAGCCATGAGCGCCCGAGCATCAAGAGCTTGTCCCTGGTACGAACGTCACTGCTTTCTTCGCATGGGTGACATTTTCATTCTTACAATTTTGTCCGCCAACAGATTCGACGTGACGCGACGAACATTAGGGTGTATGGCGGTGAGGAAGAATCGGTCAAAGTGGGCCTCGCGCATACGTTGCAGGAGCGCACATTGACTGGCCTGAACGGAAAAAGCGTACTCCCATACGTTCGTGGTGTGTGTTGAAAGGTGCTTTTAAATCTCCTGCATTTTGTGTAGGACGATGCTTCATTGTCGTTCCTCATTTCAGTTTGGAAAGTTCTCGCTGTGGTTTATAAGCTTCTTGAAGATGGTAGAATGTCGACTCAGAGGGAGATTTACTATCGCTTGCTAGGCGAAAACCAAGAGTATTTCAAGAAACAACGTGATTGCAACGCGGCAATTCAAGGTACGATGCCATTCGCAATCGTTCAAGCTCTCATTCGAGACAACATTCTGACATCTTATGCACAGAGACCGTCTCCCTCCTCCGCTGCAGCAGATGTAGCCTGGGAATCTATGCATCCAGCAAGGGTACAGTTGCTGGTCGCCTATCTATGAGGGTACGTTATACACTAGGGAATTCTTGATTGATAAAGGTAGGTGCATGGGGCGTTCAGCAATTCTCTACTGACAACCGTTTGGTGCAGGAAGGAGAGACTGGACAGTGGATAGACTGCACCAGTCGGGGAAGTGCTGGTGTTTCAATCACAGGGAACTTATGGCACATTGAGAAGCTGACATTCAAAACTGATGCGCGATACATTATTGTAGTTGAGAAGGTGCGGATTTTGCAAACCTTCACTTACGTTATACCTTCACCAGTTTTTGTTGTCTGTCTGACAGTCGTAGAATGGCGTTCTGCAGGACACTGTCTTTCAACGGCTTGTTCAGGATCGTTTATTTCAGGAGATTCCATGTATCTTGATAACTGCAAAGGGATTTCCTGACCTTGCAACGAGGTAAGTAACTGCTTTCTCATAATGTAGCAAAGGTGGGGTTCTCTTGTTTTTCTAACGAACTCTTGCTTGCTCAGAGCCTTTTTACGAAACTTACATCTGCACTACCCAAAGATTCCAATTCTTGGGTTGGTGGATATGTGAGTATACCACCTGATTTACATTGAAGCTTCAAAATATTATGTGATGCTCAGTATGCCGACTCGTTTGCAGGAATCCCGCAGGGCTGTCAATCATCTGCACATACAAGTTTGGATCAGGCCAGATGGGGCTTGAGGGTCCACGATACGGTACAGTCGATTGCGAATGAGAAGCATTTGTATGTTTTCTTTCCATGTGCTTAACTCGGCTCCCTTTCTCTTCAGCATGTGATGTGAAGTGGCTTGGACTGAGATATGGTGATGTGAAGTACGTCCCTGATGATGGACTGCAACCACTGTCAAATAGGGACAGAGTACTGGCCCAGAGTCTCATGCAGAGTGCAGCTCTTCAGGTAAGGATCACTATGAAAAGTTATCCACGGTATAAGATGTCCAACTCATTTCACTTGAGATGCATCATTTCACTTTCTCATGTGCCACTTCAGATGTCCAACTCTTACATTGATGAGCTTGAAGCAATGGTGGACTTCGGGAAAAAGGCGGACATTGAGGCGCTTCATTCCAAAGGAGCGGATTTTCTTGTCAAGTTTATCATCCAGAAGATTGTCCATCAGGATTACATCTGAGGTTCAAGTGGCAGGAGGTCAACAGAAGTGAAATTGGTGTTGTGTACACCCTTGTGTGGTAAAATTGATTGGTTAGTGACATTTGTGAGGTCATTCTACAAGGCAGAGCTGCTAAACACTCTATTCTAAATCTACGATATGAGGGCAATGTCATCTACCTCCTACTCCATGACCCAGGCCTTCGTTGTGCATTGATGCTCATTGCATGACTCGCAATAATATTAGCCGCATCAGCATTTGGAGAAGCAGACCTCGGACTTGCTGCTCGGGGGCTCATGAACCTGGGCGAAGCTCCCTTGGGAGCTCCAGGGCTCGGTCGCAGTGGCGGTGGGCTCAGTGCTCTTGGGCTGGATCGCATGGCAGCATTGGCAATGAGGGCACCCACATCAGGAGCACCTGGGCTGGACGCAGCAAGTGAGCAACGTGGGCTGAGCGAACGGAGGGAATCTGTTCTCCCGTTAGAGTAGAGTGGCCGTGGGCTCGCCCTGCTGGATTCAGATCGGCCAGGTGCTGTCATGTTGCCATTGGCGTAGCTGGGGCTTGGGTCTCGGATTGTCAGTGACCTGGCACTGACGGGACTAGGCCTTCGAGCCACCCAATCATCCCTCTGCAGTATGATGACATACATAGCACACAAAAGCAGGATGGGATGAGTTCAAAAGAACTTGTAGAATGAGACAATATCTTAAATGCTTTGCAACTATTGGTGGTCATCACTAGATGGGTGGTGGTCAAGCTGAACTAAACGGTTTTGGTCAGAATACTTATCACGAAACTGCTTACCTGTTTTGGATCTTCACTTTCCAGCATGTGGACAATCTGGGTCATGCGTGGCCGCTTGAGTGCATTGGTCTCCACGCAGCGCATGGCAATCCCGAGGACGTACTCCGCATCGTCAGGAGACACCATGCCTTGCAGGCGCGGGTCCACAATCTCAACCAGCCGCTCCTGTGAGCTCAGCTTCTTGGCCCACTTCACCAGATCCATCTGTAGCAGCATGTCAATCAGAACCAGGACGCATGGCAATCAGAACCGAAAGGAGCATAGAAACACAACCGGATCTTTGCCACAGAACAAGTACAGAGTCAGCACTGCAGGGCTATAAGTCACAGCATCATGGGTGGTGGTGGGATGTGTTACCTCATCAGGGGGAGCTTCATTGTCAATCGGCTTCCTTCCAGAGATGATCTCAAGGAGCAGCACGCCAAAGCTGTACACGTCGCTTCGTTCCGTCAGAAGACCCGTGTTCATGTACTCTGGGGCCACATATCTGAGCACAGAAGGGAACAAGAGACAGGAAAAATGACAAGCCTTTTGACTGATATATCCCACAACAGCAGACCCGGGGTTACATATACAGAACAAGCAGACCCAGATTCATGGAACAGAATGAGACCAAACATGAACAGTAAACCAGAAAATAAAACTCATGACTGGATCCCCATGTTCCTGAACCGCTCAAAAACACAGGGATACTGAAGAATGAAAAAAAAAAGAAAGTAAGCAGTAGAGGGGAGCACGCACCCAAATGTCCCAACAATGCGGGTAGCGGCGTGGCTCTGGTCGCGGCCCATGACCTTGGCAATGGCGAAGTCGCCCAGCTTGGGGTTCCACTGCGCGTCCAGCAGCACGTTGCTGGCCTTCACGTCCCTGTGCACCACCTTCATGTCCAGCCCCTCGTGCAGGTGGGAGAGACTGCAGGAATGGGATGCATGAGGGACGAGGGAACGAGAGAAGGGAGGAAGGTGGGAATGAATTATACGTTGTTTCATGCGTCACACGAATGCTGGCCTTCACATCCCTTATGCAGGTGGGATAGATTGTAGAAAGGAGAGGGGGGACTGGGTGAGGGGGAGTAGGACATGAGCGGAGAGAGAGGCAGGTGGGAAAGGTTAGTGAATCTGACTCAAACTGGACCTGTGAAGGCCCTCGTGTAAGTGGGAGAGACTGCACACACGGAGAAGCAGGTAGCAACGGATGGAGGGGAGAGGAAGATGAGGAATGTTGGGGGAAAGAGAGCCATAATGAGGTGGCGAGAAGGAAGGAGAAGCAGTAGAGGAGGAGGAGAAGAGAAGAGTGATCCTCTCACCCTCTGGCGCAGCCGATGGCGATGTGCATGCGCATGGGCCAATCAATGGGCTCCATGTTCCCGCTCTGGTGCAGCCACGAGTCAAGAGAGCCGTTGGGGACAAACTCGTACACCAGCATGCGCTCGTCGTCCTCCGCGCAGCACCCCAGCAGCGCCACCAGGTTCGGGTGCCGAGCGTGGGCTAGCGACTCGACTTCAAACCTGAATTCTCGAGCTGATTGGTCCAGGCTGGTGTGGAGAGGGGGGGGGGACACGAAGGGAGGGATTCACGCGGAGTTGAGAGGGGTGGAGAGGTATTGAGAGCCTTTTTTTTTGGCACTAACTTGGACAGCTTTGTCGCCCTCCACAGCACCCCAGCAGCGCCACCAGGTTCGGATGCTGAGCGAGGGCGAAAGACCCGGCTTCGAACCTGAATTCCCGTGCTAATTGGTCCAGACTGGTGTACACGAAGTGGAACACACAGGGGACAAACGCGGAGTTGAGAGGAGTAAAGAGGAGTGAGCCTGGACCAAAACCGTACTCCAGCACCCCAGCAGCGCCACCAGGTTCGGGTGCCGAGCGTGGGCTAGCGACTCGGCTTCAAAAATGAATTTCCGTGATTGGTTCAAGGCGGTGTACTCAGTAGGGCCCAGTTCGGCAGGCGTCATGCACTCAGGAGGGGGATCAAGAGTGGGCTCAGGAGGGGAACGGATAGCATAGGAATAGGCGTTATGTACTCAGGCAGGGGAACGGGTGACGCTGGGAGGGGGATCAAGAGTGGGCTTCGGGTTTGTTATGCGCTAGCTGTACATTGGCCGATCCAACCAAACCAATCATCCGCAGCGCACTTGACGAGCCAAGCTCTGCCGAATCGCAAGCTCATTTTCGCAGCAGATGCCACAATCTGAAAAGGGGTTCAATCCAATTACTGATGGGCATTCAAGGGGATGCTAATACAGGGACATTTCCTCGAATGCACTCACTTTCTTTGGGAAAGTCGCTTCACTGCCACCGTCGTCCCGTCAGGCAGGCGAGCCTTGTACACCGAGCCGTCTCTGCCCGTACCCAAAACATTTCTCTGGGACTGCCTGCCAAAGTCATTGGTGGCTAATGACAGCTCAGCAACCGTGAAGAACCGCTCCAGGCTGGCACCCTCCCCTGCCACGTCATCTGACGCCTCAGGTGCCCCGTCAGCACCCCCTCCGGATCCGCCGGGAACCCAAACACCGCCTCTTCCTCCCATCCCGCTCCCCCCTCCGCTCATTCCCCTTCCGCTCCCGTACCCGCCCTTCCGACTGCTGCTCCGCAGCTCCCCCACCACGTCATCCTCCCCCTCCCCCTCCGCCTCTCCACCCGCCTCCTCCAAATCCGCCACCCTTAGCGCCCGCCCCGCGGCCCCATACTTTGGGGTCACAGCAGTTGCGCCAACCGCCATCCCCGCGCCAGCGCCTCCCCCCTCCGCCCGCCCTTCCCCCCTTTCGTCCCCGGACCCACTCCGCCGCATGTTGTTCGGCGGCGGAGCGGGTGACACGTCGTCCTCCCCGGCTCCGCCCCCATTCCTCCCCCCCTTCTTCCGCGACGCGGCTCCGGCCGGCATGGATTTTAACTGAGGGATGGGAACCGCAGGAGGGATGAGCACCGGGCGGCTCAATCCGCCAGATTTGATTCGATTCTCGTCAGAATCCAACGGGATTTCCACCACTGTCGGGATTCCCTCTTCCCGCAGGATCGGCACAGGTTCGGCAGGTTTGGGCGGCGTGCCGTGGTAGCTTCGGTTCGGCGAGGAGGACCGGTGGCTGCCTCCGCCGGGGGAGGCGGAGTTGCGGTTCCCCGTGCGCGACCATGAGGGCATACGCGGGAGGGTGCTGTCGCGATTGCGCGGAACGGACGGGGGAATGGCGGGCGGAGAAGCTTCGAACACCGACGAACCAGCAGCAGCAGCAGCAGCATTGCCAGCGTCGTTACTCGTTCTCCTGCCGGACCCGTCCTTATGTCCCTTAGGCGACGGGCTGGCCTCAGGGCTCCTACCCGACTGGTTACCCGACTGGTTACCATTCCCCCTCTCCGTCTTCGGCGGGGTATGCTCCTTGCGCTCCTTCCTCCCTCCGTCCCGAGCCGCTGGCTCGGCGGATCCCGAGCCTGACTTCCTGGTTCGGGGACTCTCCGGCCGAGTCTTGTGTGGAGAGGTCTGGGGGCTCCTTCCCGAGCCAGTAGCAGCAGCGGCAGCAGCAGCAGCCGCAGCAGCAGCAGCAGCGCCTGTCTTCCGGTCGCTGCCGCTTCTGCCGCTACCTCCAATCGAACGGGAGCCCAGCGCACCGCCCGCTGCAGCGGCAACGGATGCACCCGCAGCCGTTGGATCGTGCTGATCGCCACGTGGCGACGATCCGACGCTCTCCTTATCCGCATTCGGGTTGGTCCGGGAGCCGTCCTTCTTGGGAGAGGGGGAATGGGATTTGCTGGACCTGCCTTTGCTCTTGCTTCCCGCTCCTGCGATTGCAGCTCCGGCTGCCGCACCTGTGGCGCTCACTGCCGAGGCTGCAGCCTCGGGTTCCCGAGCCGAGCGCACGGCAGGCTCGGGAGGGAGCTCCACAACCGTTACAGGTGGCACATCAACGGTGTGGTAACCCGAGTGGTAACCACTCGGCCCGTTATTACCAGACTCGATATCGATACGGTGGTGCTTTGATGGAGAGTGACGCTTAGAAGGAGATTTCTTTTTTGACGAACTGCGGCCAGAACCCGCGATTGCCGCTCCCGTCGCCGCTCCTGCCGCCGCACCTGCCGCGACCGCCGCTGCCCCGCTTCCTCCGTCTGCGTCTCCGCCCGCGGCTTCCGCGACGGCGGGGCTCCGCGCCTTGCCCTTGGACTTGTTTCCGCCGTATCCGCGCTTGGAGGCGGAGGGGGGGTTGAGATCCTTGTCGCTGCGAATTGCCCTAAATGCCGCCGCGCGCTGCACAGGGGGGGCGGGGGAAACAGGGAAACAGGCGGAGCGGGAGAAGCGGGGAAACGGGGGAACGGAACGAGGGGAGAGGGGTAAATTGAGAGAGAGGGAAGGGAAGAAAGGTAAGGGATGGGAGGGGAGGGAAGGGAAAGTAGGAGAGTTGAAATAAGGGAATACGAGTCAGTTCCTCTACTTACCGCGCGCGACTGCTTCGGCTTCCACCAGCAGCAGTAGCAAATCAGAATCGCCGCAACAATCACCAACAACGCGCCTCCAGCCGCGATGCCGATATACACACCCATGCTCATCCCCCCGCTGCTCTCCCCGCTGCTGCTGCTCGCGCTTGCGCTGCTGTTCCCGTCGCTGCTTCCGCCGTCTGCCGCCGCCGCGGTACCGCTGGAGAGCGTATCGGCTTGCGGGGACGCGGAGGGGGTGGCGGAACCGGGGGGTGGGGAGAGAGGAACGAGCGGCTGCACGGGCTGCGGATCGTCTGCGGGCGGCGGAGAGGACGGTGGGGCGTTGGCGGAAGGTGCGGGGGAGGACGGCGGGGAAGAAGGCTTGGCGGGGGAAGGGGAAGGGGAGGTAGTTGGCGGGGGGGTACTCGGGGAGGCGGAAGGCGCGGAAGGGGTTGGTTTGGGGCTCTTGGAAGGCGATGGGAGCGGCTTTTTCGGTGAGGGTTTCGGTGATTTTGGCGGGGGCTTGACGACTGGTGGGGTAACCTTAGGAGGCGATTTAACGACGGGCGGCTTAACGACGGGCGGCTTGACGACCGGCGGTTTGACGACCGGCGGTTTGACGACCGGCGGTTTGACGACGGGCGGCTTGACTGGCGGTTTCACCTTGGGCGGGGACTTCTTAGAGACGTATGGCGGGTCGCCGGGACAGGTGTCGAGCCCCTTAAAGCCCGTGCCGCAGAAGCCATACCCGTTCTCGGAGAAATTATACTTGGCGGGGCTATCGCGGAGGTAATTAAGTCCCTTCGGAACGCGCCCTTGGAGCTGATTATGCGCGAGCGAGATGGACTTAAGACGCTTTAAATTGCCGATCGACGCGGGAATCTCGCCCGAGAGCTGGTTATTGTTCAGCTCGAGGAACTTAAGTTGCGGTAAGTCGCCGAGCGATGCGGGGATCGTGTCGGAGAGGATGTTGTTGCTTAGGTCGATGGCGAGCAGGTTCGACATTCGGCCGAGGTCCGGAATTACGCCCCCGATATTGTTGCAACAGAGGTTCAAAACCTGCCGTTCGATATTGGCACATTCAGTGAGGAAGGACTGACTAAAAATCAAAACACCGACGAGTGAGAATGGTGAGAATTATCCATAAAAGCATTCGATGAGAACTCAATCGGAAACAGAGGCGGATCAATACGAAGCTAACGGTCAGTCATGGCATAGCTGTCGGGGTGAGCTGTGGCAATCAATGGGAAACATCGCGTCTCGTTACGAATACTTGTGGGAAATACTCACCATCAGCGAAGGAAGGTTGGCTATGTCGACGGGAATGTTTCCGTGCAGCGAATTTTCGCCGAGATCCAGCCATGTGAGCTTGTTGAGTTGAACGATTTCGGGTGGCACCTCGCCGGACAGCCCGAGACTGCGCAGCGAAATTTCGACCACCTCTTTGTTCGCGTTACATTTCACTCCCTGCAGAAGCAAGAAAAAAAAGAGAGATAGAAACGAGAGATAGACAGATGAAGCCGACAAGATGAGGAAATGGAAGCATGAGATGATGGGAGGTCTGAAGGCGACTTAGCTGACTATGAAGCACGAAAGGACGATCACATGCTTCTCGGGTGAGGTCAGCCAATCCTGTAACTGAAGTGCGAGATGAAGGGAGCAGATGTGTCGCGGTATTGTGGCATATATGAAAGAAAAACATTTGGCGAGGGTTTGTAGAGACTTACTTTGAATGGCGGATTGGCACACGCGTCGGAGTTGCTATCCCACGTGGACAGAATCTGATTGCTCGGATCCAGCTTCATCGCGATCCCCGTCCAGTCCGTCGCTGCTACTAACGAACCGAAGCCCATGACAATAACAAGGACAGCAGCTACTCTCATGATTGGATGAAGATCCCGCTCCATTGCTTTTGCTTTCCTTCGCATTTTCTGTCTTTTGTTTTTAAGAACTAGAATCTTAAATCTGCTCACGCGAGGAGGTAATGAACGAAAGCAGCAGTGTCTAGCCTTCAGTCGTGGTTCGCATTTCCAAGGCTAGTCGCCTGTCGCTTGATTCTACCTGGCCAGTTTCAGCCGCAGCGCACTAGTTACTGATGCTACAAGCTCGGGGTTTCTAAGAAAGGCTTCCGCCGAACGGAGCACACTAGGCGCTATCGAGCCAAGTACTGAACCGCTTTGCGGGTCAGGCGAACTAGGTTGACGCAACAAGGGCAGATGCTCGTCTCTCTCTCACACGCTCGGCGCAAATCTAGCACCCTACACTGCACAATGGCAACAGGACCGTCATCAGCACACCCTTTTCGTGAAGGCTATCGATTGAAAGCAAGGGCAAGCAGCAGCAGCAGATAGGACCGAGACTGTTGCTGAATGACGACGTTCTAGCCTGAATCCTCGGCGCCTGGTGCTTGCGCTGATGGTGGTGGCCGTCCCAACATGGGGGCGTGGAGCGAAAGCAGGGAAGAGTGATTGACAGCACCGAAGGGTGTGTTGGGTTGGGTTGGGGGAACTCGGGATCAGGGCTGACGATTCAAGGGCAAATGCCCTTAATGCCCTGAACATTAAGGGTTGGGTTCGGGCCAGCTTCCAAATGTTAAGGGCTGGCTTTGAGGGCAGCCCGTCGCCGTAAAGTGCTGGTTGTGGGTCTAACCCGGATGTCAAGTGCAGATCCCTCAGCTAGCCCTTATTGTCCCATACTAACACATCCCTCCCTCCCATTCCCTCACCCGTCCCCCCACCTCCTCCCAGCCACCTCACCCACTTTTCGGGAAATAGTATATAGCGCAAGCCGGCTACTTAACGTATTTCCTGATGTGATAGCATCGGGCTCCGAAAAAATGTAGGTTTTGCCTTAGCGAAAGTGCAAAAAAGCTGGTAGCCCTGATTTCAAGTGCTAGGTTAGCTCTCAGCCCGTAAATTTCAGGGCAACTTTTGGGGCACCTCAGCCTCTCAAGTTCTGGCTCCAAACCAATCGACAGCCCTGCTCGGGATGGACATCTCTCCCTCTCTGCAAACTCGCGAGACTGCCGTTGTTGTGAAAATGTCAAATTTCGCAAAATGTCACTCCGACATCCCATCTCAAACCGAGGCGCGTCTTGAATATTCGAGGCGCAATCGGTGCGATTCGCCGTCTTTGTCGTGGGTCTGGGTCCTTGACTCGGATAGATGTCGCCCAAGCTTGGTGGCTCGGTTCGGCTCAGAACTCACAGGACCTTCTGGTCCGGTTTTGGCGCGAGTCGAAATGCAAGCTCGGTGAGGCTTGATGCGCGCTCAGGCTGGTTTGCGTGGCCTGTCTGAAGGGCACCCGTTGAGAAGGGGGAGGAAAGCTGAAGCTGGCGTTGAAATACGAAGATGATTGGCCAGCTGTACTTGCTGGCTCGGCCAAACCTGGAACGTAGAGGTCGCACAAAATACACGGAGCTGGGCCAGCGATTCGTCAGGTGAGCTGAGTGTTTTCGCCTGAAAGGTGCTGACGAATGTTACAAGTTTGGAAATTCTCCTCTACAAGTTACACTGATTCGTTATTGGTCGGCAGGTCTTGTAAACAGGGAGGAGCTTATCACCGTTATCCTTGCATCAGGGAGAGGCTTCCGGATATCTAGCGGAGCTCTCCATGTCGCATTCCCCGAATTTGATGTTGTCAATTTGCCCCACACAGGAGGAGATTCGCTTGCAGAAGAAAAACACCATGCATGCGACCACACACCCTAAACGTCGCGCATGATTAGTCAGCAAATTCGCCCATCCAGTCAGATTCGGCGTCTATCACAGCGTGCTGCCGCCATGGCTGGAGTTTATACACCCTCCACGTGGACCAAAGTTGCCGCGGTTTCAGGTGAAATTAATTTTACCGGAAGACCTTCGTTGCTCAAATTCGCCGCCGCATCGTTCTCCATACACTATTTATGTGTCTTCGATACTTGCTATGCAGCAGCAGGTCGTCCTCCGTCAGGGTTTTAGGCGCGCCTCTGGTTAGATTTGTTTGTTTGAATAAGACCTCGTGCTCTGTCCTAATGCGTGTCGATCTCGTCAAACTTTCCTCACCTATCCTCGATTTCCCCCACCCTCTCCGCTCTCCCACCTTCCCCCCTCTTCCCTTCCCGATCTCCCCGCAATATCCAGGCGCGGCGGCGGTGGGGCTGGGCGCGTACGGAGCGCACGCGTTCAAGCCGGAGAACCCCGTGTATAAAGAGGTGAGAGGTGAATATTGGGGGGAGACGTCAATACGTGTATTGGATACGTGCTTATCCCTTTGGGGAGACGTGAATAAGTGTTTAAAGATATAAGGTGTAAATACCGGAGTGTTTTCCTTTTTTGTGCTGTCTCTCTGCTCCTTGTTCCTTGGCCTTGAAACATGCATTATAACGCGTTTTATTGTAACGCTTATCGAGTGTGGAGAATGGGCAATTTCTACCACCTGCGGCTCGCATGTGGACTTCCTGTCCCATCATATTGCATCCCTATTCTTATACGATTCATGTTTCGAATTGCATGCTTTACATTGCGTTACACTGCTTATATCAGGTGTGGCGGACTGGCAATCTCTGCCACCTCGTGCCTTCTGCTGCTCACATGCGTGCTTCCTGTCCGCGTCATAAAGCTTCACTATACTTCCTTACAACAATGCATGCTTCTAACTGCGTTGTAATGCCTTTATCAGGTGTGGCGGACAGGCAATCTCTACCATCTCGTGCACTCTGCTGCTCTCCTCGCCTCGCCCTTAGTCAAGCGACCCGACCTTGTAAGTTCACAAACTCTTCAATTAGAATTTATTAATTCGTGGCAGCTCCTTGTTTTCCCGTCCCTATATTCTCAATGTCTCTTAAGTTTACCTCCATATCCCCACTCCCCTCCTCTCTCCTGACCCCTCCCCACTCCCCTTCTCTTCTTTCCCCTGTCCCCCCCACGCTCCTCCCCTCCCCTCTCCTCCGCTCCCCTCCCCTCCCCTCTGCTCCCCTCCCCTCCCCTCCCTTCCCCTGTCCTCCCTTCCCCTCCCCTCCCCTCTGCCCCCCTCCCCTTCCCTCCCCTCCCCTCGCCTCTCCCTCCCTCCCCTCCCCTCCCCTCCCCTCCCCTCCCCTCCCCTCCCCTCCCCTCCCCTCCCCTCCCCTCCCCTCCCCTCCCCTCCCCTCGCCTCCCCTCCCCTCCCCTCACCTCCCCTCCCCTCCCCCCAGTATGGCAGCCTTCTTACCTTCGGGATAGTTGCTTTCTCAGGCAGGTGAGTGGGAACGAAGGGCAAGAAAATTTGTGCTGCTTTTTGGCCCATGAAAACCGTGATTCAAGCTCAAACCCTCAATGCACAATCCCCCTGTCCCAAGCCTCGTGACCCCCTCCGCCCTCCGGCCCACTCTTGCTCAAACCCCTCCCACCGCCTCCTTACTCGTCTCTCTGACCCCCTCTTTCCCCAGGTGACTTTTGAGTCGACTCAAAAGCCCCTCCCACCGACTCCTTACTCGTCTCTCTGACCCCCTCTTTCCCCCGCACCCGCCACCCTGCCTATCCCCTTCCCCTCCTCAGCTGTTACTTGTCAGCTGCATATGAGGACAGAGCCTTGGGTGTTGGGGCTCCCTTTGGGGGGTTCGCCTTTATTGGAGCCTGGCTTTCTGCTGCCTTCTGAATGGCTGTGCATTTTAGTGTACATATTATCTTTATCCTTCCTGTAACCCTTACGCAAAACTTCTATAGGAGTACACCGCTATGGCATGTGCATGCACAACACTTGTGAAATTATAATGGAGTACTACAGTGCAATACAATTCCCAAGTTATAATACCGTAAGGGCTTTGAATTGACTGCTCTTCATGCCTCGAATGACTAGCTTTTTTCCCCGATGACAAGCCAGCAGCACACCATAGATGGCTGAGAGGGCTGTGAGACTCATATCACCAAACCACATCTACCTGTTATAATAGATTTATATTATAATGTAACTGCATGTAACTTAGCTAGTGTAGTATCATTAGGATTGTATTGTTGGTGATATACCCCTCTTGACCACCATCCCTACCACTATATCTTGTATCACTCTCAAAGTGCGACCCCTTCTTTTGGCCATACCTCTCTTCACAAACCCTAGCCTCTAGCTACTATGTTTGACACTACCACATGTTATTTTCAATGCTGCTAAGATGCGGTGATGTTACGTTGTGCATTATGCCCCACTCGTGTGCACCATCGCCCTTCATCATCAAATCAGGCGTTGGATTTATGCCCCACCCACGAAGTCAACCACTTGGCGACCTGCATGGGTGCGGTGCGGTGCGGTAGAGTGCGGTGGAAAGAGAAAGTGAGTGGGTAAGAAGGATGGCTGCTGGAAACGTTTGAATCAACACAGCGGTCACTTGTAGATCTGGATGGGTGGTGTGCGGTGCAAGGGTGAGCTATGTGAGTGGGGGAGTCAGTCCGAGGGAATGTAGGCAGGATACCATAGAGTCTAGGGTTTAGCCACTATGGCGACTCAGCACCAGTGGGCTGTTCCACGCAGTGATCTACGCAAGACAACGCAAGTCGACTCAGCACTCACATCAGCCATGGCGGGTCGGTCTTTGGGGTTGCTGGCAAGGCAGATCACAGCCAGCATCACCAGTTGACTGTTCGGCTGCCTGCAGCTGATTGTGAGCCCGTAATCTACAACTCCCCCCCCTAGACCCAAGTCAACCATCGCACTTACATCAGCCATTGCCGGCCGGTCTTTAGGGTTGCTGGCAAGGCAGATCACTGCCAGCATCGCCACTGCCTGCAGCTGGCTCGGGTCGTACCGCCCCTCCAGTCGATAGTCCACTAGGCGATGGAATTCCCCTGATTTGGCGACTGGGATTGCCTGTAGGGAGGGAGGAGGGCGTGGGGGAGAGAGGAGAGGTTAGTCTGGTGCAGATCACTGCCAGCATCGCCACTGCCTGCAGCTGGCTCGGGTCGTACCGCCCCTCCAGTCGATAGTCCACTAGGCGATGTAACTCCCCTGCCTTGGCCACTGGGATTGCCTGATAGGGGAGGGAGGAGGGAACGAGGGAGGGTGAAGATGTGAGGGAGCATGCAAATGGAGAAAGGAGTAACTGAGCTGAACAAATGTACCAAGTCACTTGCATACAAACTGAACATGCACTCACTTTGATGGACCTAAATGCATTTAGGCGACACACACATGCAAGTCACACACACACACACCTAAATGCACCCACCCACTCACTCGCCCACGCAAAGAGGTACGCGGGTGTTTGGCTTGGGTGGAAAGGGGATGCGCCCTGTGATGAGCTCTAGCAACACCACTCCGAATGCAAACACGCACGCACCCACCCACCCACCCACACAGCCAGCCAAGCAATGAGAAACCAGTCCACCAAAACGAACCCACTCCTCACTCACCCACGCAAAGAGGTGACTTTTGAGTCGACTCAAAAGTCACCTCGAACCCACTCCTCACTCACCCAAGCAAAGAGGTAAGCTGGTGTTCTGGAGGGGTGGAAGGGGATGTGGCCTGTGATGAGCTCTAGCAGCACGACCCCGAATGCAAACACGTCGACCGCCTCGGTGATCTTGCCTGTCCGCACGTATTCAGGTGCGACGTAGCTGCATGCAAGCAAATGGGAAGGAGATGAGAGCGAAGATGCATAGAGGGACAGGGGTGAGAGGCAGTGTCATGTGGTGTGGTCGCCCTGTGCTAGCCCTGTGATGAGCTCTAGCAACACCACTCCGAATGCAAACACGTCGACCGCCTCTGTGATCTTGCCTGTTCGCACATACTCTGGTGCGACGTAGCTGTGGAGCAGAGTGGGGGAGAGGGAAAGAGAAGTGCGTTGACTGAGTTGACCGGCATTGGCCCCTAATGCAAACACGTCAACCGCCTCTGTGATCTTGACTGTTCGCATGTATTCAGGTGCCACGTAGCTGTGGTGGAGAGCGCGGGGAGGGAAGAAAGCAGTGCACTAACTGGTGTTGACTGGCGTTGACTGGCGTTGACTGGCCAAGTGCAAACACGTCGACCGCCTCTGTGATCTTGCCTGTTCGCACGTATTCAGGTGCCACGTAGCTGTAATGAAAACAAGAGGGGAAAGGGAAATACTTAAGCCTCGTGATTGCAGCGACCACCCGTGCAATGCAAACACAAGCCGGCCTCACTGAGTGTGCATAGCTGTTGTGTTGTGATATTCAAGAGAAACTAGCAACCCACCCCTGTGTGCCCGTGATGGTTGTGATCACCACTGGACGTGATTTTGAGACAGCCCAGTAAAATGGAAATTGTTGTTTGTCTTGCAGTGCCCACCCCTGACAAACAAAAACAACCCACTCCAGAAGAAAGCGCAACTTACCACTGTGTGCCCATGATGGCTGTGACGGTCATTGGTTGTGTGAAATGCTCCGGTGCGACTATATCTATCTTATGTGTTCATATATAAACGGGAAAATGAGATTAACACAATTAAAGCAACTCACCCCTGTGTGCCCATGATGGCTGTGACGGTCATCGGCTGTGTGAAATGCTCCGGTGCGACTTTTGCCAAACCAAAGTCTGATACCTGGTGGGGGAAGGGGAGGGGGGATGGGAATTTGATCAAAAGACACTCAGAACGGTCAGCACCACTCAAGATGGTCAGGGAAGCTTGAATTTTACCACTTAATCCAGAAATGACAGCTGAGAGGAGGGCAGCAGATAGGGAAAGAGGAGAATTCACAGGAACACACACACAGGAGCCATACCAGAAGGTGATTTTTTAGGTGCCTCAAAACTCACCTCGAACACTCGGGAGCCATCCCAGAAGAATATTCCCCAACTTCACAACCCGGTGAATGATAGGCGGCCGGCCAGTGGGTTGGAGAAGAAGCAGAGGGGAGGGCAGGAGAGAAAGAGAGAGAACAGACAGAGCAGCAAGAAGAGCCATACCACGGGTTCCAAGTCCTCGTCCAGCAGAATGTTCCCCGACTTCACATCCCGGTGAATGATGGGCGGGCGGCACCCACTGTGCAGAAACGCCAAACCCCTTGCCGCCCCGCTCGCGATCTCCAGCCGCTGCTGCCACGTCAGCGGCGGCTTGCGGTTATCCCGTAACCGCATGTCGAGCGCGCCGTTCGGGAGGTAGTCGAAGACCATTAGAAGCTCGCCAGCTGTCACGCACGCGCCGAGCATGCGCAGCAGGTTCGGGTGCCGAACCTTCCGGACCACCCGAAGCTCCGTGAGGAATTGTTTCGTGTTGACCGCACACTTTTTTTCGGCCAGGGCAGGCCCCCACCAGCGCAGCCTTTTAACCGCAACTTTTTGCTTGCTGCCCGCAAGAATTTCCCTCATTCTCCCGCTCCCACCTTCCCCTCCTCCCCCTCCCCCTCCTCCCCCGAAATCTGGAACCGCCATTGTAATCGTCCCCAGAAAAACCTGCCCGGATCCGCCCTCCCCTAGAACATTCTTCGGGTTGAAATTATCAGTGGCCTGCAAAATCTGCTCAAGCGTAAACTCTTGCTCCCCATACTCCTCTCTCCCGTACACCTCACGAAGGATTTCGGAAGGGGGGGGAGGGGGGAGGAGGTCTGTGGAAGGGTGGAGAGGGTTGGGAGAGAGTAGGACGGTAGGGTCTTGTTTCCATCCCCCATCGGCTGCTGCTGCAGGGATGGGGGAAGGGGATGGGGAGAGGGGAGATACTGGGGGTGCTGCTACTGAGTGGTGGTGGTGGTGGTGCTGCTGCTGTAACCGCTTCCCCTCCCCCTCTCCCCACCACGCCACCCATCCCCTCCCCATCTACCTCCATCATCTCTCCACCCCCCCTCCCCTCTCCCTCTCCACCCTCCCCTCTCTCCCCACTCCCCCTCTGCGAATCAGACCCACTCCCAACAGGCTGACACTCTCTCGGGTCAGCTCTTAAAGGGGATGCAGAACCGGGGGAGGGGGTATATGAGGCAGTAGGAGCAGCAGCAGAGGAAGCCAGAGGGGTGTTTAGAGCGGAGAGGGGAGAGACAGGCGATGCAGAAGGGTGGAGAGGGGAGGGCGAGGGGTTGGGAGCGGTGGAGAGCTCTCCGGATTTGGAGAGGGAGCAGGCGCCATGGGAGACGAGCATGACTTTTGTGGTGGTGGGGAGGTGACGAGCGAGCAGAGTGACTGTTTCTTGAGTGGCGGAGGAGATGGAGGAACTGGGAAAGGAGGCAGAGGGGGGGGGGAAGGACGGGAGAGGGGGATGGGCGGGGTGGGAAGGGGGGAGGAGAGGGAGGAAAGAGGGAAAAACAGGGAAAAAGAGCGGGAAAAAGGCAGGGATACGAGGTAAGCAAGTTGGAAGCGGGAGGGAGAGGAAGCATGGAAGGGAGGGAGCATGGAAGCACCATGAGAGACGAGCATGACTTCAGTGGTGGTGGGGAGATGACGGGTGAGTTGAGTGACGATTTCCTGGGTAGCTGAGGAGATGGAGGAACTGGCGAGAGGAGGAGGGGGGGAGAGAGGAAAGGAAGGGAGGGATGGGAAGTAAAGACGTGAGAGACGAGCATGGCATTGGTTGTGGTGGGGAGACGACGAGGGAGTTGAGCTACTGTGTCTTGAGTGGCTGAGGAGATGGAGGAACTGGGGGGTGGGGAGGGGGATGGGGGTGGTGGGGAGTCGAGGAAAGGGGAGGTGGAAGGGGGAGAAACGGGGACGGACAGTGGGAAAAGAGAGAGCAAAAAGCGGGGAGACAGGGTAAGAAAGAGGCAAGAGGAGAGCGAGGGAGGAAAGAGGGGGAAGGAAGGAAAGTGGGAAGTACAGGGGAGCCAACCGTATCTGCTACCATAACTCTTACTCCCACCCGTGGCCAAAACTCACCTCTTAAAGCCCAGGCTGCTTTTTTTTACCGCACCCAGCACAACTATCCCTGCTCCCGGCCTCAACACCCCTCAGACCCTGAGGCACGTCGGCTTGAAGGTTACCCCTGCTCATCTCGCACATCTTAAAGCCCAGATCACCTCTTAAAGCCCAGACTGCGTTTCTTGGCCGCACCCAGCAGCACCACGATCCCTTGCCTCCAGGGCCAATGTCCCCTGCAGCAGACCCTGAGAGGCACCTCTTCTTGAAGGTTACTCCTTCTGTTGCCCTTCTCTCACCTCTTAAAGCCCAGACTGCCTTTTTTGGCCGCACCCAGCACCACTATCCCTGCTCCCAGCGTCAGTGCGCCCTGCACTGCACTCGCCTCTTAAAGCCCAACCTCGTGTCCTCACCTCTTAAAGCCCATACTGCTTTTCTTGGCGGCACCCAGCACCACGATCCCTGCCCGCAGCGTCAACGCGCCCTGCAGCAGACCCTGGGGCACGTCGGCCGCCCAACACACGCACACCTCTACCCTGACCTGTTGTTGGGAGGAGGAAGAGCAGGGGAAGAAAAAAATTGGCCAGCAGCTTCCCCCACAGCCCCCTCATCTCCTCTGTTTGCCGGAGTTATTTCCGCCAGTGCCTGCAGCACTGCCACTCTTCCCCCTCATCGTCTGCTGATCCCCCCTACTCTCACCCGCCTTTTCCCCCACCCTCCCCCCACCTCTCCCAGCTCCGCCAGAATTCCCCCTTCCCTTCCCCCCGTGTCTCTCGCAGCTTCCCCTCACCTGCTTGGCGACAGCTACTGCTTGGCGGAAAATCTTTCGCCAGGGGCTGCAGTGCTACCAGCACCACCCTCCTCGCCTCTTCCTCCCAACATTCCTGTCATTTCCGCCTTTCCCCCATACAACCCCTCCCCTCTTCCACCCATCCCCCCCCCACCTGCTTGGCGGAAAATCTTCCGCCAGGGGCTGCAGCGCTGCCAGCACCACCACCCTCCTCGCCTCCCCCAGCCCCCGGCTCTCTTCACATTTCCGCCTTCCCCCCGTACATCCATCCCCCAACGTCCCCCCACCTCCCCTCCCCCCTCACCTGCTTGGCGGAAGCTATTTCCGCCAGGGGCTGCAGCGCTGCCAACACCACCCTCCGCGCCTCTATATCCCCCCGCTCCCTCTCCCCCTGCTCCCCCTTCTCCCCCCCCGTTTGTATCACCAGCGCCACCACCCTATCCCCCGGTACAACCAGCCTCGATAAAGCGAAATCCACCAGCGCCAATCCATCCTTCGATACAGTCACACCCGCGCTCCCCCCTCCGCCTCCCCCGACGTCTCGTCCGCTTCCTCCGCGCACTCCCCCCCAAAAGGAGCCTCCTGATTGGTGCAGAGTCACGCCGACGAGAACCAGTTTCGGTCCACCGTGATGCGCGGAGCCGGCGGGAGACGCGGCGGGATTTGCGGCGGAATTTGCGACGAAAGGGGAAGCTAAAGGGGAGTCGCCGAGAGGCGAGCGGAACCGGGGGGAGATTGGCGGGGATCGAGTCAACATATCGGGACTTCAAAAATAGAGGATTAAAACGAAGTGTTATTGGCGTGTCTCGGAATTTAACGGTAATAGAGAAATACAGAAGCCAAAAAAATCTAAGGTATCAGGGAAATGCAGGGACTTGATCGTTGATCCGGCCCGCGGACAGGTTGTGAAGTCCTTTCCACGAGTGAACGAATCGACCTGGTTTCTCGATTACCAGGTTTGAACAGATGGTATCTAAGGTAGTCGCGAAAGATCGACGCTAAAATCGACTAAGGCCCACTGAAAGCACTCTGGAGGTCACGACGTCTGCTTCATTGCGTGAATGCGGAGAATATACTCGTTACAAGCTCGTGTCGAAATCGACGAGATGCAAGCAGCATTCGCGAAGAGGAACGCGAGAAATGCAGCTAGTTCGGGTGGCTGACGAAGGATTCGTGCGCGAATGTCGCAGCCCCGAAGAGACAGTATCGCGCTAGCAGCAGGATAAGCTAAGCAGCTCTTTCAAAAGTGACTACTGAAACCGAAGTTATAACTCGACTAATTTGAGATTATCTAACACGAGAGCTAGCTCCAAAGAAGCGAACTAACCTCGAAGCCACAGCGTCAAGCATCTTATGGCTTCGGTTCGGTCTTCCTGAAAAAGGAGGTGTTGGAGGTGTCGAACCTGTGGTGCTTCGCTCAGAATCGCAAGGTTGTTGCGTGAACTGAGCATTAAGGTACACTACTGTTCAGGACAGTATGGATGTCTATATTCAGTCGTAAATGTCGGGGTGCCGGGAAGACCAAGGCAGGAGGACACGAATGCTGCCAGTGCCGCCCAGGCCTGTCGAAGCTTCTGGGGCCAGAACTTTGCCCCACCCACCACTCGGGCCGCGGGCAGGTGAAAATACTCGGGGACTGGAGAGGCAATGGAACGAGGATTTAGTGCCTATGGTGGTGTGGCGTGGTGCTCCGCTCATATGAAGGCCACCACGTCTCCTCTTCAGTCATAAAAGTAGGCGAGACACGTGATATAATTGAGGGGGGGGAGCTGGGACGGCCCATAGGTGGTACAGGATGGGTTGCATTGCCAGGGGCGGCATGCATTGCTAGTGTGTGGAATATTTGCGGACTGAGTAACGGAACGTTCCTGGCCGGTGTCAAACTTCGGGCCAGGCTGCTTGACACGAGGTGGAATAGACAGGCATGGGGCAAAATCGTTTCTTCGTGTCAGACCCCCCTGGGGAGCCTGACACCAAGCAAACTTGGCCCGAAGTTTGACACCGGCCAGGAACGTTCCCTAACTCTAGAGATAAGTAGGCCAGGCTCACTCATCTACAGTTTTTCTCGTTTATAGTTCGACGGAGAAACACGCCGCGCGCGGACTATATGTCAAAATGTCCGAAACCCCGGGCAAACGGGACCCTATAGTCCCAAATTCGAGAAAATTGCATGAAAAGCGGTTTTTTGTCTCTACTGGTTGTTGTTTTTTGTCATATACGTACGTATGGACCGCGCTTGCTTCAACTTCTCGTCGAACGGTTTTACGCGTTATCAGTGATGCGTGAAAAACGGGCAGAAATAAACAACATCGATTATGTTTGATGCCATAATAAGTTTGACTTTTGTTTTGTTTTTCCTTCCTGTCAGCGAGATTACTGAGATGTCATCGTGGAGCGCGCTAGGAATCGCGCGACGGGAATAAGAAACAAGCGCGGTCAAGAGAAACAAAAAATATCAGCTCTAAATGTTAACTTCAAAACAAAACTGCCTTTTGTAGCATTTCCCGTAAATGTTCAAGGCACTTAGGGCGGGGTGCGTCATGCTGAATTTGCATGATCGCCCCCTGATCGTGATGCTAGCACCGCAACCCTGTGGAATCCGGTGGGGTTGGGCGTGCTCGAGGTCCCATGCAACCCAACGGCGCCCTCCCATGATACACCACCCGCAATTTTGTAGTCGCGATCCCCAACCACCAATCAGACGCGGTCGAGGCGTCGCATCTACAGAGTGGTTTCAGGGTTGATTTCGTAATGTTTTCGTTCTTACCTCGCTTACGTTTCGTTTGGTCGTCAGGCGACAAATATTTCTCGCGAACAAGGATCGGTGTGCACGTGGTGCACCTTCAACCCTTGATCGCGTGGGATCGCAGGCTCTCAGATCCAGCGTGATCGAGGGTGGTTGAGTGGCAGTTTTTGCGGTCCCCCAGGGTCGTGGTGCAGCAATGCTACAGTAAGTACTGTACGCAAAAGACAAAACACTGTAACGAGGATCGCTTGGGATCGCGATCCTGAAAAACTGCATGATGCACCCCGCCCTTAGCAATGAACCTGGTCAAAAAAGGGACTGTAGAGGAGGGGCCACACCTAGGAATTAAAGGAAAAAGCTCCTCATTTTGAAAATGGGACTTTGTTAGCGCAGGACTTTATAGCGGAACCATTTGTACACACAGCGCATCGACCGCTCAAGAACGAGCAGCTCATATCGCGGATCGAGTTTTGGCAAAGATCGCTGTGCTCCACCCATTCCTTGCGAGGAAATCGAAGCTTCGCGAACGCATGCTCGGAAACAAAAGCCGAAAGTATACAGCCCTTATAAAATGACGATTCAACTAAGGACGAATCATCGTTCAGCCTATTTCGGCTCTGGTGATGATCACAGGGAATTGCGTGTGCGACAATATCTAGGGATGACATACTGACTCAGCCGCAAGTGATCACTTTTCGCGAATCCATTTCCTTTCTTACTTCTTCCCTCATCACTCCGTGCCAATCCCGCCGATCGTGAAGTTCGGCTTGTTTTCGCAATCGTAGGATCGCGTGCGACTTGGAGAGTGAGTCGACGGTGACGTGAGTAGAAAGTAATAAATTCGTCGAATATAAGCGCAGCAAGTCTCGTTCCAGCCACTTATAGCAGCTATCAGGATTCGAACCCACGACCACCATGTCGTTCCTACCCATCCTTGACTACGGTGTAACACCTGCAGCCACCACCTCTAACGGTGATGGTAACCCTATTACCAGTGACCCTAGCAGCAGTGATGTGAGTAACACGGCAGCGGGTTCCTCTGGTTCTGTCGGCGGTAGTGATCCACCCTCTCGGGCAAGCTCTGGGGGACAGGGCGCAATGTCGGGCGGGGAAGGCGGAACCGCAGGCGCGGGAGGCGCAAAAGCGGATGGCGCGGAGAAGCTGAAGAAAAAGGCTTCAAAAGCGGGGAGCAGCGGAGCAGGCGGAAAGAAATCCGCGGGTAAAGCGGCGGCGAAGGGGGAGGGGAAGGCGGAGGGGAAGAAGGCAGGGAAGGGGAAGGCGGGGACGGGGAAAGGGGCGGGGAAAGCGGCGGGAACGGGCGCCTCGTCTTCCGGCGCCTCTTCTTCCGCAGCCGGCGCGGCTGCAGCGGCGCGGGAGAAGGAGGAGCGGATGAAAGCGGCGAAGGCACAGGCCGAGGCGCACGCCGCCGCGCTCGAGGCGCATCGATCCGCCGTCTTTAAACTGCAGGCGCTGCTGATCCGCGACGTGTACTCTAACGGGACTGATCCTTTCGATTTTGGTGCCAGCAGCGGTAGTGGCAGTGGCAGCGGCGGCAGTAGCAGCAGCAGTACAGTCACACAGGAAGCAGGCAAACCGGATACAGTCACATCACCTAGAGTCACACCATCGTTCGACGTGCGAGCAAGCCAATTAGCAGCGGCGTGCAGATTGCTCGGCAGAAGCGAGTACGATGCTATAGTGGAGGAACGTGCTATAGGGGGGTTTTGTGGTAACCCGCTTTGCAACCAAGTGTTACAAGCTCGGTACGGGGAAGGAAAAGGGAGGTTCAAATTAGTCAGGGCTGAGGGGAAAGTTTTTAAGAAAGCGGAGATTTCGAGGTTTTGCAGTGCTGTGTGTATGCGCACCAATGGTAGTGTAGCTCTCTCGCTCCCGGAGCATCGAGAGTTGCTCTATAAAGAGGATTTGCAGGCGGTTTTAGATGCAGCAGGAGTGGGAGGGGGTGAGGGGGTGGGCGAGTGGGTGGGGGATCGTAGTACGGCTGTGAGGACGGAGGTGAAGAAAGAGGGTGGGAGAAGTAGTATGAGCAGCGTTGGTAGCACGACCACCAACACTGCAGCAGCAGCAGCAGCAGCAGCAGCAGCAGCAGCAGCAGCAGCAGCAGCAGCAGCAGCAGCAGCAGCAGCAGCAGCAGCAGCAGCAGCAGCAGCAGCAGCAGCAGCAGCAGCAGCAGCAGCAGCAGCAGCAGCAGCAGCAGCAGCAGCAGCAGCAGCAGCAGCAGCAGCAGCAGCAGCAGCAGCAGCAGCAACAGCAGCAGCAGCAGCAGCAGCAGCAGCAGCAACAGCAGCAACAGCAGCAACAGCAGCAACAGCAGCAGCAGAGGCGAGAAGGTTACAGAAGTGGCTGGGGTTGTGAAGCTTTCCGAGGGTGATGTCAATGCGAGCACGAGCAGGAGCAGCAGCAGCAGCAGCAGCACCATCACCACCATCACCGCCACCACCACTATCAGCAGCAGCAGTAATACCAGCGCTCTATCTCCACAGCTAAAACTAAAGGAAAACGTTCTTGGGGCTGCTGACGCAGAGGGTGTTGGCGCAGGGGGTGTTGGCGCAGGGGGTGTTGGCGCAGGGGGTGTTGGCGTAGGGTCAAATGGGGCAGCAACAGAGGGGCTGTCTTCGATTGGAGGCTTCGAGTCCGCAGTGCATAATGCGATTGAAGGGTACGTTCCTCGGCATGGTACTGAGACGCTTAATGAAGGGTACGTCTCTCGGGGAGAGAGAGGGGAATCGAGAGGGGGTGACAGAGAAAGAGAGAGAGCGGGAGAGAGGAGAGGAGAGCGGGGGAGAGGGGATAACATAGCTCAGAGCATAATGTCTCAAGTGGTTGCTGGGTCAGGAACATGTGACGAGCTGTTTGCACCGAGTGTGGGGATGGAAGGGTGGGTGGGAGGCGAGCAGGAGGACGACAGGGGCGATATGGGGATGGGCGTGGGAGGCAGGGTTGTTGTTGGGGTGGGAGATGCGGCGGCAGCAGCAGAAGCAGGGGAAACGGGAGGAGGAGCAGGAGCGAGTGGAACAGCATCAGCAGGGAAAGCAGAAGCTGGAGGACCAACAGCGAAAGCAGGCGAAATCGAGGGGCGAAGAGCAGAGCTGCGACCCGCTCTGAAGAAAACAGTGAAGGGGGAGATGGGCGGAGGGGCAGTAGGCACGGCGAATGGAACAGCAGCAGCAGAGGCAGCAACAGCGAAAGGAGCCGAAATCGAGGGACGAATAGCAGAGCTGCGACCCGCTCTGAAGAATTCAGTGAAGGGGGAGATGGGCGGACGGGATATGGGGAGGGAGGGAGAAGAGGGAAGGCAGAATGTGGGGGGGAGGCAGAAGGGAGAGGAGAGGCATGTCACCTGGGCGGCAGATGACAGCCTGGCAGTGGCTCAGGCGGAGGAGGGGAGGGGTAGAGGCGAGGAGGAGAGGGGGGGAGTCGGGAAGGGGAAGAAGCAGCGAGCGGTGAGAGAGGGGGCAGTAAGGGAGGGGAGCAGTGGGGAGGTTGATAGTAGCGAGTCTGGGGTGGGGGGGAGGGAAGGTTGGGGCGCCGAGGGAGGGGCAGAGGCAGCAGCAGCGGGTCGCTGTGGATGGCTGGAGGCTCCTCCCCCGGGCTTTAAGATGCAGGTGAGGGTTCAGGGTCTATGCTCATGGGTTACCTGGTTACCACAGTCGCAGAAGCGGGTTGCTATGGCTGGAGGCTCCTCCCCCGGGCTTCATGATGCAGGTGAGGGTTCAGGGTCTATGCTCATGGGTTACCTGGTTACCACAGTCGCAGAAGCGGGTTGCTATGGCTGGAGGCTCCTCCCCCAGGCTTCATGGCAGGTGAGGGTGTCGTTTAGGCAGAAGGTTGATTGGAGTTACCTGGTTACCACAATGGCACTAGCGGGTCGATGGGGGCTGGCTGGAGGCTCCTCCCCCGGGCTTCATGATGCAGGTGAGGGTTTGCCTTCAGAGTTCAAGGTTTCACTTTGAAGGTTTAGGGGTGAATGAAGGCTCACAAGAAGTTATCTGGTTACCACACTGGCAGCAGTGGGTTGCTGTGGATGGCTAGAAGCTCCTTGCCGGGGCGTGCAGGTTAGGGAGTTTCATCACATGAGACAAGAGAGAGAGAGAGAGAGAAACGGTTACCTGGTTACCACATCATGCTGGCTGGAAGCATGTCCCTTGCCCTCCAATCCTTCCTATCCATCCCCTTTCCCTGTCTCTTTGCCTGCCCCCTCGCCAGCTCTTCTTTCACTGCACTCTCCTCATGGCTCTTCAGGAGTGGGTCGCTGCCGACCCAATGGAACCACCTCTTTTCTATGCTCTTTTCCCAATTTGCATTCCTTTTCCCTGCTTGTGTTCCTGCCTGTCTGTCTTCCTACCCCCCTCGCCAGCTTCCCATTCACTGCACTCTCCTCATGGCTCTTCAGGAGCGGGTCACTGCTGACTTTTCTTCTGGATGGTTTACCTCTCCGTGTCCTTTCCCTGCCTGCCTGCCTACCTGTCTGTCTGTCTGCCTGCCCCCTCACCAGCTCCCCTTCCACTGCACTCTCCTCATGGCGCTCCAAGAGTGGGTCACTGCAGACTCGCTTTGTCTAATCTACCCACCACATCCACCGCAGCAGGCAGCACAACCAGCACTGCAGCAATCACCATGTGTGAATGCAAGCCTGGAAGCGAACGGGTGGGAGTACCCAACTCTCCAGGGGTCCGTGAATGATGCTGCCAGAGCAGCTGAGATCCGAAGGACTCTGGGGGATGGTCTGGGGAGGGAGACGGCAGGCATGGTGGAAAGCTTGGGGCTGCTGCTGCCACTGTCGACCGTGGAACACGCACTGGTGAGCTTGCTGTGTGGATGTACTTGTGAGTCCACTTCAAAGGTATTTTTTAGTCGACTCAAAAATGGACTGCTGCTGCCACTGTCGACTGTGGAACACGCACTGGTGAGCTTGCTGTGTGGATGTACTATTGAGTCCACTTCAAACGCTTTCTTTGCCTTCTTGCCACCTTGGCCTTCTTGCCACCTTGGCCTTCTTGCCACCTTGGCCTTCTTGCCACCTTGGCCTTCTTGCCACCTTGGCCTTCTTGCCACCTTGGCCTTCTTGCCACCTTGGCCTTCTTGCCACCTTGGCCTTCTTGCCCCTCCCCTCCCTGCGCCATCCCCACTCGCAACTGCTGCCACCGCCGCCGCCGCCGCTGTTGCTGCTGCTGCTGTCTCCATTTCATTTCATACCTTTTCATTTCTTCTCCGCTTTCCCTTCTCCCCCCCTCTCCGTCCAATCCTCCTCATGCAGACTCGTCTGCTCGGGACCTTTGCATTCCGCTCGCCCCTCCCCTCTCTCCGTCGCCCCCACTGGCAACTGCTGCTTCTGCTATTGCTCGAGGCCCTGTCGGCCAACTGCCTGCCTTCTGCTGCTTCCAATGCACTCAACACCCACCGGCATCAAGTATACAAGGTACATTCTTGTAGCTTCTGCATGTTCTTCTTCAGCTGCAGCTGCGTTTGCTGCTGATGCTGCTGGTGTTGCTGTTGCTGCTCACTTCACGTTTTTTTTTTTTTTTTTTTTTTTTTTTTGGTGTTCATGCCTTCTTGCATGCCGTATTCACTTGTGTGTGCGTGCAGGTGGCAGCAGCAGCAGGTGTGGACAGGGACAACTACCTCTTGCTCAGGCAGATGCTGCTTCCCAGGGGGCCTTCGGTTCGCAACCCTAACCAAAACACAAACGCTGCTGCTTAGACGCAAGACTAATGTTATTCAGCATCAGCAGCAGCAGCAGCATCAGCAGCAGCATCAGCATCAGCAGCAGCATCATCAGCAGGTATAGACAGGGACAACAACCCCTTGCTCAGGCACCCTAGATGCTGCCACCAAGGGGGCCTGCTGCTTATGATCCTGGTCAAAACACAATGCTGCTGGATGTAATGTAAGGTCCTCCTCTTGAGATACTACTATCAATAGTGGATTGCCAATTTATTTGCGAGTCTGGATCTGATAGCTCTTTGCACTGAACCTGCGCAGAAATATGTAGTCTGTGTTAGTGAACATCCAAGCAAGGAGGTAGGGCAGTAGTGCGAGATAATGCTATATCTTGTAAAAACTTCTGGTCCAGGTAATAGTGATCGGTGACCAGTCACATGAAGTCCCCTCCAAGAGTGAAGGAGTAGTGCTCGATCACGCGTCCCTGCACCATCCCACCTTCCTTCTCCCTCCCCCATCCCTTCTCTCCGTCACCACTACCAATCACAGCAACCCCGGCCATCCCACCATACTCCTTGCTGGTGCTGAGCTGGCGTGAGTCAGCACCAGCACCAGATGGGACAAACTCCACAAGGCCTATTTCACAAAGGTGCCCAGAAAGTGGCAGCTTCTGGGATCGAACAGTGTGCAAACTACTGGGAAGTTTTTCTTCTTGCAGTTCTTGAGCGACGTGGCAGACGGGCAGCCAGGATCCGGGCAGGTAATTGGGGTCGCACGGAATGGCTAGTCTCTTCAGAAGCTCCTGAGGAGTGCAGAGAGGTGCAGAGTGGTGATGGACAAGAGAAGGTAAAGCGCAAGGGACCTGAATTAACTTAGCTGTCACCTGAATGTGCATTGTTTCACACATGCATCACTTTTTTAGGCGCCTCAAAAATCACCTGAATGAGCATTGTTTCACACATGCATTACTTTTCTAGGCGCCTCAAAAATCACCTGAATGAGCATTGTTTCACACATGCATCAACACACACGATACACAAGCGGCTGACTGAAACGCACACACTTGCAGCTGATTGTGCAGTGTAATAGGGCAATAGAAGAGACACACACACAACACACATGAGGGGCACAGGCACATATCCACCCACCTGCAGTTGCTCGTGCAGTGTGAGCAGGACAATAGAGGGCTTCCTAATACATCCCAAAAGTTATCACAAGGGACACGGATTCACCCACCTGCAGTTGCTCGTGCAGTGTGAGCAGGACAATAGAAGGAACTGGAGCCAGAAACAATGCACTGGTTGCTACCGGTGCTGCTTTGGAACCCTCAGCAGCATTTGCGGCAGCAGCAGTACCCCAGTTGCTTGTGCGAGTGGGATCGACTGATTGGATGCTGCTGCTGCTGCTGCTATTGCTGCTCGTGGTTGTGGCGGAAGCAGCTGCAATGTTTCCCCCAGGGTGAGAATTTGGGCTCGAAACACCCGTAGCACCAGCACCACCACCAACACCAGTAGCAGCAGCAGCACTCGAAGCACGTGCGCCTGGACTGCTGGTGCTGCTGCTATTCCCGCCATCTGTACTCGTTACAGAGTTATTCCCTGCCGAGGCATGGCTGGTGCTGTTGACCGCGGTGGGAGAGAAGGCGGGTCGTGGCACGGGAGCTGCGGGGAAGCTCCCAACCGCGGCCAAGGCGACTGGAATGGGGTGCTGCTGCTGCGCGAAATTCTCTATGGCTGTGCGAAGCTTGGAAGGTTCCAGATCAGATGGGGTGTGGAGCGAGAGACTGATAGAGAAAGGGAAGAGGAAAGAGACAAGGAAGGGGGTAGGGGAAAGAAGGGAAATTAGAGGAGATGGTTGCATGAAGCTTGGAGGAATTCAGGATCGGTGTGGTGTGATGGGAGCCTCAGGGGCCTCTGCTTGCTCCAGGATCGTTAAGAGAGGCGTTCAAAGGGAGAATGAAGGGGAAAAAACATGGTCAAGGAAGAGGGAAAAGAGGACCAAAAAAAGAAAAAAAAGGGAGACCTAAGAGTTTATGAGACATATAAGTCAACGGCTGTGCTGCTGGCATGACACGAAGCTCGCCAAATGTCTCAATTAGGTGGCTTCCAAACCTCCTTAAAACATTTCCAATTTGATCTTGACTTAATTCCACCAATGTCAACGGCTGTGCTGCTTGCTGACCTGACATGCGGCCTGGCGGATGTCTCTATCAGGTAGCTCCCCAGCCTTCGCCTTGCCAGCACATTCCAAATCTTTACGTGCAGAGAAAAGGAAAAAACACACTCAGAGAAGGACCATTAGTACGGAGGGAATCTGACACAAATAGCCACACAAAGAATGTGAGAAAATCGGTTGAAGCGTCCGAAGGCTTGGCAATTGGAAGGTCCACGACGCGATGTAAGCGAGTAGAAGAGACTAGGTCTTTTCAAGTGCTCGGATTTTTAGAAATCCGTGCCCCGAGGACTGATTCTCCAGAACTGTAACTAATTACATTCTCCATTCTTACGATCAGGAGAAAATCGAGGACTCTTTGCGCTTCTCGGAATCGACGTACCCTGAGTATCTGGTTCTCCAGGGCCGTGTCGAAATAGAGCTCCACGGCGAACCCTCTCGTCACGCTTCTGCCGAGCGGCGATGCCGGGTACGCGTCAGCAGCTACCGGCTGCCGGCCAAACCCCATTGCTGAACGCCAGATTCGAAAAAAACGAATCTACGATGGTAACAGCAATGTAGCAACAATCCTTTGGTTCCAACCTAGGTTTGGGACTTTTAGTATGGAATCCGCAGGCAAACGCAGTTACACCACATTAGCGACGACGCGAGTCGAGACCAGAATGCCTGTCGGAACTGCAAAGAGCCATTTGGGAAGGATAACTGGAATGGAGACTTGCTCTCGCGTACTCAGGAATTTCCCCCCCATCATCAGTCTTCTAAGAACTCGCTTTGTGGTCAGTCTCGCTTCTGTGTAGTAATCCTTTATCCCTTATGAACTTTCTCATCAGTTGTTAAATTTCATCTTTTTTACTGGCGAGTGAATTGATCAGGCGTACTGTACATCAACTCATCGCGATCTGTGAAATCCTTGCGTTGCGTAGACATACGGCATTGGCGAGGGATCTGTCTGAACTGAACCTGAAAAGAAAGTTCCTCGCCGGCCGGTTGGAATGCACCGCACCAGACAAATTGGAAAGGCTGTGATTGAATGGAAGAGTGTTTGACAGTCCAGTGGATTTCGGTACGGTTCAATAAGTTTTACTACGATGCAGGAAATACTGTTCAAACAATCGAGTGGTTGGGTAGGGTTGCAACGAATTCGTACCCAACAGCCAACAAGTGCCCGAATTCAGTCAGACACCGCAGCACGAGGACTGGGACATATCCTCGACCTTCGAGGATATGTGACTGTGAGTTGTGCTATTCCTCATTCCGCGCCTTTACCGTCTTCTTTCTTCTGGCGTAGGACAGGCTTTATCCCCGTCCTTATACGTACTAGTTCAATCCGCGGACGGCGCCTTAGTCGACATGCCGACTCTCAGCGTCCAGACAAACGTACCTGGCGATAATGTTGTGATCACCGACGTCATGAAGGACTTGAGTAAAGTCGTGGCTAGAGTTCTCGACAGGCCTGAAGAAGTAAGCGTTTTCGTCACGTATAGTTTCCGAAAGTCTTTGATATACAATTTAAGAACAAGACTGAACCGGGGTGCACCCTGGCAGGGGTTAACCTTTGATGCCCACATTACGGGGTGTGCTTCCAACCTGGGGAGCCAGATTCTGCCCCAAACCCCAAAAAAATTGTTACCCCATCCCCCGCAATTTCTGAATGTGTACCCCGGTTTTAATCCTGCGTTTTCCTGGCTTGCAGTATGTGATGATTTCCGTAAAAACGTCAATCCCAATGTGCTTTGGTGGAACGGAAGCCCCTGCAGCCTACGCCGAAGTTAATGCAATCGACAGGCTGGGTCCAGACACGAATAAGAAACTCAGTGCTGCCATTTCGGAGATTCTTGCGGCCAAATTAACAGTTCCACCCAACCGCTGTTACATCAAGTTCTATGACGTGAAGGTACGTGGCTCAGCTTCCACTCTTGTTTCTGAATCCTGAGGTTTCATGTCGTCCTGTGTGTGTTCAGGTCTTGGATGAAGGCATTGATCCGAGTGCAGTTGTCTACATGCTTGTCATCAGTAGATGAATGCACATTTTGCCGCTTTGTAGTCAGTCCAGCTTCTTCCAGTAATGGATTTCACATTTCTTGTGCAGGCAGCAGACTTCGGTTGGAATGGCTCCACGTTCGATGGCTTAGTATGAAGCTAGTCATCTATGCATCAACTGCCTTGTTCGCACGGCCCATTGCCCGGTTCACTGTTGGTTTGAACTGTGTCTCAATTCCCAGGTCTATGGTTAGGGATTTAGATTGACTTCATGGATTGCATGAGCTAGTACTCTTTTTTTTTCCTAATGACACGTAGCAAACGAGAGGCAAGGATCAGTCTCAAAACACATCTTCATGTTACTGTCGGCACGGTAACACGCACTTGCTCTTACATTGTGCCTCGTGAACTGCTTGCTCACTCCTGGTGGAATTTCATGCCATCCCCTTTCACAATCACCTTTCACCATCCCCTTTCACAATCACGTTTCACAATCACCTTTCACCATCCCCTTTCACAATCCCCTTTCACAATCACGTTTCACCATCCCCTTTCACCACCCCCTTTCACAATCCCCTTTCACAATCACCTTGCACATCACCTTTCACCACCCCCTTTCACAATCACCTTTCACCATCCCCTGTCACGATCCCCTTTCACCATCCCCTTTCACCATCACCTTTCACCATCCCCTTTCACAATCCCCTTTCACCATCCCCTTTCACCATCCCCTTTCACCATCCCAAGTCACCATCCCCTTTCACCATCCCCTTTCACCATCCCAAGTCACCATCCCCTTTCACCATCCCCTTTCACCATCCCCTGTCACCATCCCCTGTCACCATCCCCTTTCACCATATCTCCTTGCACTATCGAATCAGGCACTGGGCTTATGGTGCCCCACCCATGAGGTCAATTACTTGGCGACCTGCATGGGGTGGAGTGGGGTGCGGTGCAGGGTGGTAGGGTGCAGTGGAAATAAGAAGGTAAGAATGGCTGTTGGAGACGTTTGGATCAACTAAACGGTCACTTGTAGAGCTGCACTGCAATTCACAGCTCTCTATACCAGGTTAACTCAGGTCAAATCAGGTCAACTCAATCAACCCAAGTCAACTCAGCACGCACACCAGCCATGGAGGATTGGTCCTTGGGGTTGCTGGCAAGGCATGTCACTGCCAGCATCACCAGTTGACTGTTCGGCTGCACTCCACAACCCCTCAATACCAAGTCAACCCAAGTGAACACGAGTCAACTCAAGTCAACCCAAGTCAATGCACTCACTTCAGCCATGGAGGGTAGGTCCTTGGGGTTGCTGGCGAGGCAAATAACTGCTAGCATCGCCACTGCCTGCAGCTGACTTGCGTCGTATCACCCCTCTAGGCGATAGTCCACTAGCCAATGAAACTACCCTGCCCTGGCCACTGGGATTGCCCGACTGCGAAGGGGAAGAGGGGAGGGGGGTGCTGGAGAAAGGGAGAAAGAGCATTGCACACCCCCTCAGGCCATAGTCCACCAGGCCGCGGAACTCCTCTGCCTTGGCCACTGGGATTGGCTGAGAGGGTGGTGGGGAGGAAGAGAAGAAGATGGGTTGGTGCAGACACGGCCTGCAGCTGACTTGGGTCGTACCGCCCGTCTATACTATAGTGAGGAGAGGGGAGGAGGAGAGAGAGCAGGAGAGTGAGGGAAGGAACCTAGTACCACCCTTCTAGGCGATAGTTCACCAGGCAATGGAACTCCCCTGCCTTGGCCATTGGGATTGCCTGTTGGGAGGGAGGAGGGGGGGAGTTGAGAGGGAGAAGGAGCAGGAGAGCGAGAGAATCAACACGGCAACCACTCACACACTCAGACGTGCACCCACCCGCAACCATGCATGTACGCACCCTCACCCATGCATGTACGCGCCCTCACCCATGCAAGTACCCACCCTCACCCATGCAAGTACCCACCCTCAACCGTGCATGTTCTCTATGGTTGTACGAAGCTTGGAGGGTTCCAGATCCGATGGGGTGTGAAGGGAGAAACTGGAGTCCACAGGGGAGGGGAGTGAATGGAAGGGAAGGAGAGATAAGCAAATTAGAAAAAAGGGGTGTGCGGAGCTTAGAACTCCTGATTACATCAAATATAATAAAATCAAACGTGGAGTGCAAAGTGAGACTGGAGAGGAAATGCGCAAGTGACAAAGGAGAGGGGAGGGGGAGGGAGGCGATTTCAATGTCTTTGCAAAGCACAGCCTCGAGCTCTCTGGTTGCTCCAGGTTCATTGAGTGAGGCGTTGAGAGGGAGAATGCGGGGGAATGAACATGGTCAATGAGGGAAACGCGGAGGATAAATTGGGAGAGAAGGCAGAGGGTAAGAAACATAAATGCCAACGGCACGGCTGCTAGCCTTACACGAAAGAGGCAAAATGCCTCCAGCAGGTGGCTTTGGTGCCTCATAAAATTAAATCATATTCGAATTGGACTCAAATCCACTGATGTCAAGGGTGACTTTTGAGTCGACTCAAAGTGACTTTTGAGTCGACTCAAAAGGCTTTGGTGCCTCATAAAATTAAATCATATTCGAACTGGACTCAAATAAACTGATGTCAAGGGCCGTGCTGCTTGCTGACCTGACATGCGGCCTGGCAGATGTCTCTATCAGGTAGCTCCACAGCCTTCGCCTTGCCAGCACATTCCAAATCTTCACGTGTGGAGGAAGAAAATGCACACAGATGGGACAGAAGCACGGAAGGGGTTGATCGGTGAGAAAAACCAGATGCGATAATACAATAAAGAATAAATAAAAAAGCTGAAGAAAGCCGTCTAAGCATCGGAAAGCTCAGGATTCCGGAGGTTCCACGATGCGACCAAGGCAAGTAAAAGAGACTGGGCCTCCTTCGAAAGTGCAACTAAATGGGTTTCCATTCTTATGACCAAGGAGAAAATCGACGACTGTTATGGATTCGCACCCTAAGCCGTGTCGAAATAGAGCTCCACGGCGAACCCTCGCGTCACGCTTCTGCCGAGCGGCGATGCCAGGTACGCGTTAGCCAGCAGCCGGCCGAACCCCATTGCTGAACGACAGATTCGAAAAAGGCCAAATCTACAGTGTTAGCAGCAATGTAGCAACGATCCTTTAGCTCCAGCTCTGTATTGGAACTTAGTATCCAGCCCGCGACCGAACGCAGTTACACCAGATTAGTGCCGACTCGAGTCGAGACCAGAAAACACTTGTCAGAACCGCAGAGTGCATCAGCTAAGGATGCATTTCCGCCAGTCATCAGTAGCTTTGCGGTTAGACTCGCTCTTGTGATGTGAAAGTCCTAGTTCTTATGTTTCATGTTTTGATTGGCGCGTGAATACACCTCCGATGCACTGTACGCCATTTGCCTCAACTTCAGGTCTGGGCTGGGCGAATCCGCGAAATGCAACGAGAACCACCTAGAAGTCAGAAATGCTGCCATTGAGCAGTGTAGGGCTTGACAGTTCACTGAAAATCAGAACGGTTCAGTAAGATGTTTTGCGATGCGTAGAGTTTGTTTGGGTTCAGTAGTCATCATTCCTCCCCCAGTGCCATTCACCTCAGACCTACCGTATTCCCCGGCCGTGAGGTTAGCTATTTCCTTATTCCGCGCCTCTTCCGTCTCTTTTCTTCTGGCATAGCACAGACTTTATCTCCGTCCTACTTAATAGTTTCATCTGTAGACGGTGCCTCAGCCGACATGCCGACTCTCAACGTCCAGACAAACGTGCCTGGTGAAAACGTTGTGATCAGCGATGTCATGAAGGACTTGAGTAAAGTCGTGGCTAGAGTTATCGGCAAGCCTGAAGCAGTAAGCGAATTCGTCAAATACAGTTTCTGGCAAATTTAGGCACTACCTAGGGAAAAGCACTGAAGCTCAATCCCGCGTTTTCCTGGCTTGCAGTATGTGATGATCTCCGTGAAAGCATCAATTCCAATGTGCTTTGCTGGAACAGAAGCTCCTGCAGCCTATGCCGAATTGATTTCAATCGGCGGGCTAGGTCCAGACACGAATAAGAAACTCAGTGCTGCCATTTCTGAGATTCTTGAGGCCAAGTTAACTGTTCCACCCAATCGTTTTTACATCAAGTTTTATGACGTCAAGGTATGTGACTCAGCTTTCACTCTTGTTGCTGGATCACGAGGTTTCATGTTGCTGTGCTTATTTGTGTACCGTTCCTGTATTCAGGTCTCGGATAGAGGGCATTTATCAGAGTGTCATTGTCTACATGCTTGTCATCAGTAGACGAATGCACATTATATTGCAGCTTTGAGCTTCGTCCACTAATGGTTTTCCTATTTCTTGTGCAGAGATCAGACTTTGGTTGGAATGGCTCCACGTTTTGAAGCTAGTCGTTGCCCATGCATTACTCCCAGTTCAATGCATGTCTCGGGCTATTGTCGTTTCAGCAATTATAGCGGTTTCACATGAGAATTTACAACTCATTACAGGGCAAAACGCGCCACACTGATAAATAAGATGGCTAACACAGTAACCTCATAAGTAATCCAGACCCAGTTATGGATGACGATTGATAACTACGTTTAGGAGGCAGCCTCTTTCTTGAAGTGATTGCCACCAGTCAGTAGCTTAAATGCGTAGAAGAGGGTCATAATGGCACTGCGATTTGTCACAACACGGACAACACAGCAAATACGGTAAGATTGAAAGAAATGGCCTGGGGCGAGATCGCCAAACAGATTTGCGTATTTGCCAAAACATGGAGCCATTCTCTAGCAGCATTTGTAATCCTGCTTGCACGGGGAGAAGCACAGGAACTCACAAGGAACAAACATACCTTAATCCAGCAACGACACCGGCTGGGAAGATCTTCTGGGTGGTCATGTATCGGTCACCAAGAACGTAAGTCAATGCGCCACCGATGGCTGCAAGTTGCATACAAGCGTAAGTGAATGGATGGACCAGCGGCTAGTCACCATGCTGTCACCAAGAATGACGAAGACTGAAAGGGGAGAAACGAGGCATACTGCACGGACCGAGTTGGGCGAAAATGGCTGCAAACGAGTTCTTCCGCTGCTTGAAAAGTTTGAGCTGGATTGCCGCTATTGAACAGAGAATCGCTCCTGACGCTACTCCGCCAATAAGCGACACTGTACTTCCTTTCCGCAAAAAGCCTATCAACCCGCCAAGGATGAGCATCGAGCCATACGGAATGGAGAAGCAAAAATCGTGCATGTTCAAATGCAGGCAGGGAGCAAGACAAACTAAGGGAGGAAATGCCACGACACCAAGGCACACGTGACGCTGTACCTACAACGAATGTCAGCAGCGATAGATTTCTTGAAAGAAGGGAAAGCTCGACTGAGATCATGGAACGCAGGCACTGAGGGCGTGGGCCCAAACGGGTTTGATCGCCTCGATCAGCAACGATCAATAATTTCCAGGAAGCCTGGAAGCCAAATTCAGGCAATCAGGGGCAATCAGCTGATCGCGATCAGCTGATCGCCCAACCTCGATCAGACCCGATTTTCACCCCGATCAGAGTCGATTTTCCTCGATCACAGGCAATCAATTGATTGCTTGTGTTCGGGGCACCTAGCGATGCTTGCGAAAAGTTACACTGTTGCATTTACAGTGAAACGAATATTTTCGCCAGGTGAAGCCTGGTCGTCAATCTCGCTAAAATGGTGACGAAAATGCCACGCAAATGCATCACGCTTGCTGAGCAGGCGCTGACAACCTTCTCCGAAAATAATTGCTAATCGGGCGGCTCGGGCACTACGATCACAAGCAACCCGATCAGATCCAACCCGATCAGATCGGTCGCGATCAAACCCGTTTGGTCCCACGCCCTGAGTAGATTTGTGCTCTCGGCTTTGATGGTCCTGGTGGTCGGTGCCTGACACGGGAAACCAGCTCGATGCCTTTTCTCCTGCGTGGGTTGTCTTCGCACGGTACCCGGTACTGTTTAGTCCCGAACTTCGTCAATCCATCAGAAGTTCGCTTACTGTAACACACATTTACAGAGACGAGTATATGTTTGTATACAAAATGAATGATCATGGAACCTGGATTACACAAGGCAGCCATAAATCCTCCAGTCTAGTATATTAATTTCTACATCACTGCAATTCATACGGTACATCTTGAAGTTGCAAATGGTAGTACCATACATCCTTGCGGATCCTTAGTAGCGGCCCACAAAGATACCCTCTTGCCTTTCCTCGTTCCACTTGTCAATCTGAAAGGGAATATCACAAGAAGAAATGGTTCACATCATTAAGTCCAACATGACCACAGCAAGCAGAAGATAATGCTCACTGGCAAGCAGGCGTAACCACTCAGATCCAAATGCTGCAGCCACATGAGAACGTACCCACTCAGCAGGGCACAATGTCCGGTAGGCCTTGGCAAACTTCTGGCACTCTGAGGCGCCCTCGCCCTTCTCAGCAATGCACCTGGCAAATCACCATGCAGATCACAGAAGCCACAGAAAAACGACAGAGTGAAGTGCTAAACTAACGCATACCATCAGTTGGAATTCACATTTCGGGAAATGAAAGAAAACGGCATGCTGGAGATGAAAGGGAAGCGAGATGCGAAGGCGAAGTAGTGAGCTGCGAAGACACGGAGCGAGCGTGGTCCTACTTGTGGAACTCGTTGTAGCAGGTGAAGCAGTGCTTCGCCTGGTTCGCTGTAGGGAACCGGAAATCCATCGGCACCGTCTTGATGTCATCCACCTGAAAATGCAGAGCAATACAATGACGGAAACGACCAAGGAACAACGGACAGCATAATAAACAAACTTCATGTAGGGTAAAAGGCGGATCTCGGATAGCGAAGGAAATAACTGCTTTTCCAGCTGCGGAGCGGAACGAAGACACGGAAAACGGCGGAAGGAGCACATAAAAAAGTACAGGAAATGAAAGCGGATGAATGAGTCTGATCTTACAGTGATGACGCGCTTTCCCTCGACCTCCGCCATCACGTCCAAGATCGCAACCGGAATACCGCCTTCAAAATGAAAACTTCAAGGACAACGTCAGATAAAGCGTCTCCAACAAAAACTACGAATACCCACGTAGACCAAGTAATCAGCGTAAACCACGCAAAACACGCAAAACGTTACGCACCTGCGAAGGTTATCGCTCAAGCAGTGCTTGAGAACGGTTAGGAGCGGCTCTAGAACTCGAGGTAAGCAGAGCCTGGAGCTTCTTGGGCTGTTCTAGCAGGCAGGGGCACACATTGGTGAAGGAAATGCGGAAGCACAGACAGAAGCGGAGGGTGGCGGATGAAGAAGCGGAAACGGGCGGAAGCAATAGCGGGGAGAACGAATCCTGGGGGTGAGGGGGTGAACTGGGGGGATGGCACACTAATGTATTACTACATCCGAAAATTGTCTCGAATTACAAAAACTTGCAAACCAAAAACATCCATTCAATCTCAACATTGTGAAACGTTCCTCCATGCATAATTTCCAAGTGATATAGCCTTGCCATCATATAACAAGCTCCAACGCATGTTCACGTATAACTAGTATCCAACGACGTCACCTAACTTCAGGAAGGCAGGGATGGTGTTGAGCTCGAATTTACGAGCAAACAGAAAGCAATGGGTGCGCTTTCCTCCTAGTGTGCAAGGCCTACTCCCGGATAAGGTCAACGTGTATATGGTCTCTGCTGGCACCATGTAGTCTTGCTGCAAAGCAAACATTGAAGGGAAAGTAAAATACAAATATTTGTGGATGTGATGAACAATGGTGATTGAAGTAGAAAAATGGAAAGCAACAAAACCAGCGGGTGAAACCTGCTTGATTGTGTTGCTGCGATCTTTCTCACCTGTATTTTGCGAATAAAATTAGGATTAATTTCTTCCAGGGTGTATGAAGCCGGGTGCCGTGAAATGGCCCCTCCCCAATGCACATACAGCACACTCCGAGTGTCAACGTTTTCAGGGTCCTCGATCTGCCCAGGAACAAAGAAAGTAAGAAACCATCTACAATCTTATCACAAAAAATCCCCCAGGATCATCAGCGGACATTCTGGAGACTACAACTGTACCATGAAACTTGCACAACCAAGCAAAAGTCAGATGTGGGGGACAAGCATAAGAAATAGCACCAGTGTTACATGTCAGCAGTGATTATAGGATGCAGAACATACCGCAAGAACTGTTTGGATGTAGCTTTCATCAGGGATCTGCTATGCCAGGGGGCGCCATAACATGCCATGCCGTGTCATGCCATCGGAGTAACAATTGGGAACCAGAAAACAGAAATTTGGGGTTCTCCTCAAAACGTGGGGACTTCGCATAGGACTTCGCATTGGGGTCACTCCGAAGGTAATTGTGGGACGTCTTACCAGCGTTGGAAAAAAAAATAAAAAAAAAAATGGTGTCTTTTATCAACCAACAACTCTCTATGCATGTTAACAAGGGTTCTCCATAAGGATTGTTTTGAGGCGCCTCAAAACTCCACAAGGATCCTCAAGGTATGCGTCACATACCTTGAGGTCGTTTTTGAGGCGCCTCAAAAACGACAACAACTCTCTATGCATGTTAACAAGGGTGCTCCACAAGGATCCAGCATGCGTCACATACCTCAGAAAAGGTCTCCGCAAATAGGTCACAGTACATTCGGTCTCACAGTAAGTGCTGCAGAGGTCTTAAAGAAGAGGTCAGCATGTCACCACCACGTACCTCAGAGAAGGTTTCCACAAAAAGGTCATAGTACTTTCGGTCCCTCACAATGAGGGCTGCACATGTGCACGAGTTAGGGCAAACCACTGCGCATGTGGCAGACAGGGCAAGCATTGCAGACAGATAGGGCAACAGGGAGAGTTTTGAGACGTCTCAGAACTTTTGTCCCCTCACAAGGAGTGCTACATGGGGACGAGTTAGAGCTGCCCAGTGCAGGCGTAGCAGGCAGGGCAAGCATAGCAGATAGAAAAACGAGCAGCAACGGTTAAAAGGGAGAGGAAAGAATTCTCCCCCTCCCCTACCCTCTCTCCCCACCTGCGACCCCTTTCTGAACTGGTGACGCTTGATCGTTGGAGCCATAGTGAACACCCACCGCCACCCGCTCTCATAGCTGGGTGGGAGAAGGTGGAAACAGGGGTATGGTAAAGGACGAAGTTGTGTAAAAGGGCAAAGAGGGGCCGTGGGGCAGAGATGAGTGGAAGACGAGGAGCCATGAGCAAGGAGCCGTGAGCAAGGAGCCGTGGTGAGCACGCACCAGTAAGGGATGTGGGAGAGAAGGTGAAGGCAGTCGATTGGAGAGAGCACTTACCAGAGCAATGGAGGCAAGTCACACAACGAACAATGAGTGCACGTGACACGTCTCACAACCAGAGTGGTGCGCAATTTACCTTGTTATGAGTTTTCGACGCGGCTTGAGTCTCACCTAGTGATGAAGCTGACGTTGGGGGCGAACAGAACAGATAGTCCCACACATAGGTGAAGTTGAAGATGGGGAGGTGCGATGGGGGCAGGCCATGCAAAAAGAATCGTGTGCACTTCAGTGGTGAGTTTAAGTTGCGGATCGAATCTCACCTGGTGATGAAGCTGACGTTGGTGGCAAAGAGATAGTCCCACACGTAGGTGAAGTTGAAGATGGGAAGACACCTGGGTTCAATGAATGTGGACGGGCGTTGGGAAAACAAGAGCAGAGGTAATAGTGGATGGAAGGTAAAGAGCAGCGAAGCATGTTGAAGATGGCAAGGGAGGCATCAAGACACATGGAACGTGGACATACTTTTGAGTCGACTCAAAAGAGGAATGTGGACATACATTGAAGAAGAGTACCACGGGTGGAGGATAAGGGGCAGGGGGCAGTGCAGTGAATCTGGACAGACGTTGAAGAAGAATGACAAGGGTGGAGACGTTGGATTAGCACAGGCGGCATCACAACCTCACACAACCTCAAAGCACCTGATGTCACCGCACAGAATCACCCAAAAGACATTGCCACCTACCTCACAAACACCACCCACTCACTTGTCTGACACGAGCATGCATCTTTGGTTGCCCGGACCCTCAAGGGCAGCAGCCAGAAGCATATCTCACATTATCACAACATCACCCATCAGAACACCTCAGCATCGCAGACCACCACCAATCTCACTTGTCGGACACGAGCACGAATCTTTGGTTGCCCGGATCCTCAAGGGCAGCAGCCAGAAGCCGCTTCTCCGCTCGGATCAGGTTCGGCCCGCCCCATGAGATCTGCGCAGGTGCAAGAACGGGAGCAGAGGGGTGAGGATTAGGCAGTGTGTGTCAGGGAGTAAGGACAGCAGGGCAGCGTGCAGCAAGGGCAGCAGCCAGCAGCCGCTTCTCCGCTCGGATCAGGTTCGGCCCGCCCCATGAGATCTGCATGGGTGCACCAGGGGCGCAACAGTGGAGCACAGGGATGAGGGCTGAGCAGTGTCCGGCAGGGAATATGGGTAGAGGGGCAGCGTCCAGCAAGGCAGCCAGAAGCTGTTTTTCTGCTCGGATCAGATTCGGCCCGCCCCATGAAATCTGTGCGACAGGGGTGCACCAGGGGCGCAACAGTGGAGCACAGGGATGAGGGCTGAGCAGTGTCCGGCAGGGAATACGGGCAGAGGGGCAGCGTACGACAAGGCAGCCAGAGGCTGTTTCTCCGATCGGATCAGGTTCGTTCGGCCCACCCCATGAGATCTGCGTGGGTGCAAAGGGGAGCAGAGACGTGAGGGCTGGGCAGTTTATCTCAGGGATTATGGGCATTGAGAATTCTCAAAAGCGACAGCGTACAACAAGGCAGCCAGAAGCCGTTTCTCCGATCGGATCAGGTTCGGCCCACCCCATGAGATCTGCGTGGGTGCACAGGAGAGCGGGGACGTGAGGGCTGGGCAGTTTGTCTCAGGGATTGGCATTGAAACAGCGTACAACAAGGCAGCCAGAAGCCGTTTCTCCGCTCGGATCAGGTACGGGATCTGCACGGGTGCAGAGGGGAGCAGAGACGTGAGGGCTAGGCAGTTTGTCTCAGGAAATATGGGCAGCCAGCCCATATTTCCTCAAAAGTCACCTCAAGACAAACACAAGCCGCTGCTCCTCTGGGATGACAACTGGTCCTCGCTTGAGGTCCATGCATCGGCCCTTCACTCGTGATGACGCCCAGCTTCCCTCCCATTCTTCTCCCACTCTCCTCCCGGCACCTGCGTGCCCTTGAAGCTGGGCGAATCCACCACGTCGTCCAGAGTGGGAGGCGCCTCAAAATGACGTTTGAACCCGTATGCATGACCGCATGATGCATGATCCCGTATGCATGGCCGCATGATGCATGATCCTGTATGCATGACCGCATGATGCATGATCCCGTATGCATGACCGCATGATGCATGATCCCGTATGCATGACCGCACGATGCATGATCCCGTATGCATGACCGCATGATGCTTGATCCCGTATGCATGACCGCATGATGCATGATCCCGTATGCATGACCGCATGATGCATGATCCCGTATGCATGACCGCATGATGCATGATCCCGTATGCATGACCGCATGATGCATGATCCCGTATGCATGACCGCATGATGCGTGATCCCGTATGCATGACCGCACGATGCATGATCCCGTATGCATGACCGCATGATGAATGATCATACAACTCACCCGCACTCCTGGCACCTGCGTGCCCTTGAAGCTCGGCGAATCCACCACGTCGTCCAGAGTGAAGTTGGGCGTTGACACATGCACGTGCACGGAGTAGCGCCCCTGGTGGCCCTGTGTGGAGAGGGGGGGAATGGGTGGAAACGGCAGTACAATGAGGGGAGAGAGGGAGAAGAATGGGAGGGAAGCTGGGCATCATCACGAGTGAAGTTGGGCGTTGACACATGCACGTGCACGGAGTAGCGCCCCTGGTGGCCCTGTGGGGTTGGGGGGGGGGGGGGGGGGGTGGAGGGTGATAAAGTGGGAGGAGAAGGGGAGAATGGAGGGATGAGCAACCGCATTATCGAGAGTGAAGTTTGGCGCTGGCACATGCACGTGCACGGAGTACCGCCCCTGGTGGCCCTGTGGCGGAGGGGGGATCGGGGGGAATGGGGGGAAACGGCAATATAATGAGGGGCGAGAGGGGGTAGAATGGGAGGAGTAGCTGGGCGAGTCCACCACGTCGTCACGAGTGAAGTTGGGCGCGGACAGTGCACGTGCACGGAATACCTCCCCTGATGGCCCTGAGATGGGGGGATGGGGAGGATAGGGGAGAATGGGGGGGAATTTTGAGGCGCCTCAAAAGGATAGGGGAGAATGGGGGGGAAAGGCAGTATAATGAGGGGAGGAAGGGGGAAGAACGAAGGGAGCAGCTAGGTGAGTCCACCGCAACGTTAAGAGTGAAGTTGGGCGCGGAGAGTGCACGTGCGCGGAATACCTCCCCTGATGGCCCTGACCCAAGAGATTTAGACTTCAAGTCATGAAATGCTTACTTGGAAGAATCTCTCCCAAACAGGCGCGAGCGGCAGAGGGCCTCGCACGATGAACAGGAACGCGATCTTAGGAGCCACGGCATGCGTCCTCCCAACGGCTGCCAGCTCATCATCCTTCTCCAGCTGCGCGAGCGCTCGCTGCGTCAGCTGCTCGTCCACGTTGTCAAGAAGACCCGTGTCCCACACAGGAAGACGCTCGGACGCTCCGCCGAGGATCACGAGCAGGATGGCGAAAACGGGTAACCACATGAGGAGGATCGCGAGGCGGTTGATGGCGACGGTGTCGCGAGGCTTGGGGAGGAGCACGCGGGGAGCTGGCTTAAAGCCAATGTGCGGCGCGGGACTTTCCTTCGGCATGATGGAGGGCTCGCACGAATCAGAAACCGATAGTTTACGGAACCTTCAGGGAAGATGGGACGGAGCTTCGGCAAAGATAGAAGCTCGAGTGACGGGAGCTTGGACCGTATGAGGCTTGCCAAACTGCGGGCTTCTTGGAATGTCCTGGAGACTTTTAGTTCGAACTTTTTAAGGCTGGAACTTTTGAAGGCTGGAATCTATAAGGTTGGAATTCCTAAGGCCGTTCAGAAGCCTAGACGGATTCCTGGATGATCGCTTCGTTTTCCACTCACACTCATGAACCACAGCTGCTGAAATGTCTAAGTTTCTGTCATCCCAGAATAGCACCAAAGCAATGTTTACCAGAACATCCACTCCGACAGTGTCATGGCGAGCTAAATCTGCATCTCATGTGCTTTCACGCTAAAAAGGTGACGGCATTACTCGCAGAAGGCCTAGCATTCCTGAACAGTATCAAGAACCAGGCACCCGTCCTTCTGTCACTACAGCCGTTCCCTGGCTGTGTAAGCGCGTGTCTCTGACTGACTCACGATTATTGCGTCAACGTGACAGCCTTTCACAGTCTCGTTGTCTACTATTTCCGCAATTACGACACTGCAGCCTCGGTTTCTAACATACAGCAGTCTCAGCGTCTGGTCTGGGACGCTGCGGTCTCGGCTTTCACTGAGCAGGCAGCAGCACCCTGAAAGGCAAAGCTATGTGGAGCAGGGAAATTCGGTGTTTCCTAGGCCATACCGCACGAGGTTACGCTTTTTAGATCGGCAGAACACGGTTGAATAGCACTGTGAAAAGCTCGTATGATTCTCTGTGAGGTTCTTGTAGAGGAGCCCGCGAATCGATACGTACGCATAAAAAAGTGATTGAAGAGGGCTCGAAGAAGAATCCTCGACAAGTGACTTCTTCGTACTTACGATTAGAGACGCACTACAGCGTGCTGACACAAATACAAGCAAGTACACTTACTAACAGATTGACAACCTAAGGTAATACTGACCAACTCGTATGAGATGGCAATCAATCCGCATTTGTGTTTCAAGGGAACATGGGCTGCTGCATGAGACCTTCGGTCTCTGGAAGTCCGAGCATGATGTTGAGATTCTGAAGAGCTTGGCCAGATGCTCCCTTGACAAGATTGTCAATCTGCACAGCAAACAGGAAGGAAACACAGGAAAATTACAAGCACGAAAAATGATGTGCAATGAAGCTACCAACAGTGTTAACTCTATAAACACCGTCTAATACCGTATATATATATATATATATATATATATATAAACAAAGACTTACCACAGATGTGATGATTGCGCGGCCGGGAATGCGGTCTGGGAAGACATTGACGAGGCAGTAGTTGGAGCCCCTCACATGACGTGTGTGCGGCACAATCCCCTTGGGCAACACCACCACAAACTCCTCATCCTGGATTTTCATTAAACCAAACAATGAATACACATGGATAGGCATAAAAACTCCATATTCTAAAACACTGTGAAACGAGCATTGAAGCATGCTCAAATATTGTCAGCAGATGTTGATGGTACATGGTTGACAGCATGCCACTTGATTGGGGAGCTCACCTGATATCTGCTGCTCAGGTGTTCTCTCAGGTCGTCCACTGTTGCCCCAGGTGCCATCTGAACGTAGATGGTTGACAGCATGCCACGTGACTGGGAGCACAGGACGGAGAGGTTAGGAAGGGGTAGGAGGGGAAGGGGAGAAAAATACGAAGTGAGTGATATTTGAAGGGAGAAAGAATTGGGTGGGGCGGGGGGGGGAAGGAGTAGGGGAGGTGGATAGGAGGAATGGGGAGGAAAGGGGGGCAAAGATGAGAATGAGAAGAATGAGGACTGATAGATGGCCACGGGGACTGTTACAGGAGGTAAAAGAGAAGACGGCATTGAGAGAGAGTGTGTTGCAAGACGCGGTGCAATGCGTTCGCCGCACTTTGGTCCAAGAGGAGGGCATGCAACAACTCGCCCTAGACAGCTCACCTGGAACAGTAGCTCGTCTGCTGTTCCTCATGCACAGTTACGGCCGTTTGATGGTGTATGCTTGTGCTTCGGAATATAATTATCAATACAATACAAAAAAAAAAAAAAAAAAAAAAAAAAAAAAAAAAAACGATGCGGTGCAAGAGAGTGTTGCAAGATGCGGTGCAAGAGAGTGTTGCAGTATTAGGGTTGCCATGAGGGGGTTGTCATCATTACCATGGGCACAAGTCATCATTACCATGAGCGTCATCATTACCATGGGCATGAGTTACCACAGGCGCGAGTCATCATTACGATGGGCACGAGTCATCATTACCATGGGCATGAGGTGAGGAGTGAAGCTGACAGTCACATCCGCTCCCCCGGCAAACTCTTTCAGCCCTTGCTCAATCTCAGGCACTGTCAGGCAGGGGGGAAGGATGAGAAATGGAGGTTTTCTTAAGGTGGCCAAAACAGTTGCGGCGCACCTTTAGTATCCACAGTCGCAACAAAGCATATCGTGCCTGTGCATGGTCCTAACGTGCCTGCAGTTGGTGACTCCATAGGGATGAATGCCCTCCGCCACCTCTGTGAACAGAATGTAACACGGAAACCATAAAACGTACCGTGCCTGTGGTTAGTCACTCCGTAGGCATGAATGCCCTCCGCCACCTCTGTGTACAGGTTCGCCTCCTCCGCTCCACATCAATGTAACATGGTAGCAACTGAGGGTCATACAAAGCTTACCGTGCCTGTGGTTGGTAACTCCATAGGCGTGAATGCCCTCTGCCACCTCCGTGTACAGATTGAACAGGCGTGACACTCACTAACAACTTAGGATCATACAGAGCTTACCGTGCCTGTGGTTAGTCACGCCGTAGGCATGAATGCACTCCGCCACCTCAGTGTACAGGTTCGCCTCCTCCGCTCCACATCAGGTATGTGGCACACTGTAACAATGTAACATTATAACAAAGCTTACCATGCCTGTGGTTGGTAACTCCATAGGCATGAATGCCCTCCGCCACCTCTGTGTACAGGTTCGCCTCCTTGGCTCCGCGCCCTGCTCCGCTCACTCCCGACTTGGCGTCAATGATGATGCCGTCTGGTAAGATGAGCTTGGACTGTTGGGGGAAGGAGATAAGGGAGACACCACAGGGGAATGGGGGTGCGAGGGTGTCAGTGATGTGGTTAGTAACTGGAGGGGGGGAAGCAGAAATGCCCTCCTTGGCCCCACGCCCTGCTCCGCTCACTCCTGACTTGGCGTCAATGATGATGCCGTCCGGCAGAATGAGCTTGGACTGTTGGGGGCGAGAAGGGAGCCACCACAGGGGAATGGGGGTGCGAGGGTGTCAGTGATGAGCTTGGACTGTGGATGCAAGGAAGGACAGGGAGGGGGATGAAGGGATTTTTTGAGAATTCTAAAAAAAATCCCTGCTCCGCTCACTCCTGACTTGGCGTCAATGATAAAGCCGTCTGGCAAGATGAGCTTGGACTGTGGATGCAAGGAAGGACAGGGAGGGGGATGAGAGAGGAAGAGTAGACATGGGAGAACGGAAGGCTACTGGGGAAGCAGAGCTGTTTGCTTCTCCCCGTGTCTGTTCCCTCTAATGCAGCAAGTCATGGTTGTTTGCAGGCGGAAACAGCTGAGATTATACCTGGTTGGGACAGTGCATACTCAAGAAGACAGACAGGAGGCCGCATCAGGCGCGAGACCGCATCAGTCTAGAATGGCATCATGCATAAAATGGCACGAGTCAGGAGGCAGCAGCATCCGGAGCTGGATGCTGTTGGATACTATACCTGAAGAAGTGTTTTGAGACGTCTCAAAACACTTCTTCAAACACAGAGCTGGATGCTGTTGGATACTATACCTGAAGAAGAGGAATGAGTGGGAGCTGGACGGACGTGGGATAACATCCGGGATTGGCCACCTGGCAGAAGGGGAGCACAGAAAGAATGGAGAGGCGAAAAGAGAGGAGAGAGGCGAAAAGAGAGGATTGAGGCGCGGAATGAAGGAACGGAGAGGGCACGTGAGTGAAGCGTTTACTGGCCTGGCGAACGCAGAAATGAGATCCAGAGGGGGGACAGCAAGACAGTGTTGACTCACCAGGCGAGCGGCCTTCACTGCGTCTCTGTAGATCTCAGTCAATCCATAGACAGCCTCTTCCTGGTGAGAGGAGACACGCACACACACACACACATACACACACACACACACACACACACACACACACAGAGAGTAACAGAGGGGAGGGAGATAACAGAGTGAGAAGGGATGGTAAGGGTAGGGTATTGGGGGCCCTGTACTCGCTGCCATTTCACTGGCCATATTCGTGCATGTTCGTTCTCCTCCATTCTGAAGATTTTCTCGAGTCAACCACACACAGCCCGCCCCCCTCACATGCAGCTTGGGCGCCCTGTGCTCGCCGCCATACCACTGCGCATACTCGTTCACGTCCCTCTATGCATATGACTCGACCCTCTCAAGCAAGCAAGCATGCACTGCACACCCTCCTCACCTGCAGCTTGGGCGCCCTGTGCTCGCCGCCATACCACTGCGCATACTCGTTCACGTCCCTCTATGCATATGACTCGACCCTCTCAAGCAAGCATGCACTGCACACCCTCCTCACCTGCAGCTTGGGCGCCCTGTGCTCGCCGCCATACCACTGCGCATACTCATTCACGTCCCTCAGCCGGAAATCCTGCAGAGATTGCAACGAGGCACCAGTAGCAGCAAGGAACATTGGGTTGGGAGGAGGCATGCTTAAGAGTGTCATGACAGATTTTGTTTCACTAAGATCAAAGGGGACACGCATCGTTCAGACCTCAGACCACCCCCCCCCTCTCCCCTCTCCACCTCCTCCCAGAAAGTATTCTAAAAGATATCACTTACAGCAGACAGATCCACAATCTTCAGGTGCTCGGGCAGCGCTGCAATGATTTCCTGCCAAGCCAACAGCGAAAGACGAAGGCAACATGAGAACAACGCCCTCTTGAATTGCACAACGCCCTTTTGAATTGCACAACGCCCTCTTGAATTGCACAACGCCCTCTTGAACTGAACAACGCCCTCTTGAATTGAACAACGCCCTCTTGAATTGAACAACGCCCTCTTGAGCTGAACAACGCCCTCTTGAAATGAACAACGCCCTCTTGAATTGCACAACGCCCTCTTGAATTGAACAAAGCCCTCTTGAATTGAACAACGCCCTCTAGAATTGCACAACGCCCTCTTGAATTGAACAACGCCCTCTTGAATTGCACAACGCCCTCTTGAATTGCACAACGCCCTCTTGAATTGAACAAAGCCCTCTTGAATTGAACAAAGCCTCTTGAATTAAGGCTGTCCATAGCCCTCAATACTACAAACGAGTGAACAAAATGAGCTGCTGAGACACACTTGAGCGGCCACCTGAGGCACAGCGGGAGATCCACCTGAGGGAGGCCTGGAAATCCACCTGAGGCTCACCTGAGTGGTTCCGTGCGGTAGGCAGCAGAAGACGGCGTCCACCTGGGAGAAATCCGCATCTGCCACGGCGACCATGTTGGGGAGATCCACCTGGAGGCAGGGAAGGAAGGGAGGCAGGGAGGCAGGGAGGCAGGGAGGCAGGGAGGCAGGGAGGCAGGGAGGCAAACAACATGTTTGGTGATATGTTGGAGGAGTAAAGCTGGGAGAAATCCGCGCCTGCCACGGCGACCATGTTGGGGAGATCGACCTGTAGGCAGGGAAGGAAGGGAGGCAGGAGGCAGGGAGGCATGGGGGCATGGGGGCACGGGGCTATGGGGGCATGGGGGTATGTGGGCATGGGGCCATGGAGGCGAACAAGGATGGAAGTGAGGAAGTAGAGCTGGCACACGAGCAACACCAAGTGTGCCACACGAGCAACACCAAGTGTGCCACACGAGGCGCGTAACAGTCCACACAGGGAAACCGGGGTGGAAGGAGGGAGGGTAAGAGGAAGCAGGAACAGGATTTCGGGTGTGGAGAGTCATACAGTGAACAATGTTTAGTTGGCAAGGAGTTCATACCTCCCACCAGGATTTTCACATTGCTCTTTTCTTTCCAACGGGTCTGGCACTATCCACCACGAGAACCTTCCCCGCCACACTTGAGAACCTTCTGGAGCACAAGGCCTCGGGAAGATTCTCGTGGACGGCATGGATTCTCTCGTATGCAACAAAAACTCCTCTCATTCTCTGTGGGTTAAACTTTACATGAACTTTACATGATTAAAGAACGTGTCTGTGGGTTTGTTCCTGCGAGATGAAGTGAGGGAAGGTGGAGAAGAGAGGCAGCCAGACCTTTATTTTCCAATGTATCTTCTTCATAAAAAATAAATTTCAGTAGCTTTCCAAGAGAGTTTATTTTTTCCATACCCTGAAATATTTCCGAGGAACTGTACCTGGGAGATGAGGTGAGGGAAGACGGAGGAGAGCGGCAGCCCGGCCTTGCGATCCGCCGTCATGAGAGTGACTTGCAGTGACGGATGCACGGCCAGCAGACGAACGATCTGGAGGAAGGACGAACGAGAGGAACATAGAAAGGAGGAGCGGAAGAAGAGAGGAGCTGCATTGTGATGAGTGGTCATGGTGAGAGCGACTTGCAGTGACGGATGCACGGCCAGCAGACGAACGATTTGGAGGAAGACGGGAATAGAAAATAGAGGAACAGAAGAGAAGCCAGCAATGTGATCTGAGAGGACGCTTTCGCAACGTCAGGTGAAGAATGAGTCGCACGGGAGGCACAAAACATGAGTTTGAACCTCATCCAGCGAATTCAGACGCTACCAGAACAGAACGTGCTACTGCTAGCAACTGAAACGTCTAAATTCCATCAATGCAGACGGAAAAGGTATCCGCTAGCAGAAATTTCTTCAAACATAATGTCGTTGACGAGCCTGAGGTATCGTCTCATCACACGCGAACGTAAAAGCTCACCTCAGCGCCAGTGTATCCGCTTGCTCCGAGCACTCCGACTCGCGCGACGTCGCCCTTCTTCGCAGAGGCCGTCTGTGAGACGGCTGCCGGCGCTGCCGTTGCCGTCACAATCGCCGGCCGTCGCAGCTGCTTAGACGATGCGTTCGAAGCGAGCGTTGGGAGCTTCTGGCCGCTGAGCTGATTCGCAGCGAAGCCGATGCATGATGCGGACTGAAAGGATCGAATGACAATTAGATGATAAGCATGCGTTTTTTCTTCGTAAACGGTAATAACTTCGAGCAGCTTAAAGCTCGCGTCTCATATTTACGAGCATTTAACACTTGGTTGGAAGCTCGCTTCAGTGATTGGTTTGACAGAAACGCGACCCCAGCTAATCACAAATTTAGTGATTCGTCAACCAGTCACAGAAGCCAACCAAGTGTTAAATCCAACCAACTGTAAAACGGAGAAAATATGAAACGCCCTCTTTAACGAGGTAAGTGCAGAAAATCACTAAAACATACCTGAAGAAGCGCTGCCATGGAGGCTGACGTAGGAGCAGAACGAAAACAGCAGCTTGTTGATGAGAGGCGGGCGGAAGTAATGGATTCACCTCTGATGTAGCTGCTGGGACCAAAACAGCAGCTGTTTTCTGTTCAGGAAATTCCTAGTCACAGATGATCTCTAGACCCTCATAATTTCCAGGCTGAAAATTTCGCTGGACTAGGAGAATCTCGAGAAGTCCTCCAAAAACGAAGTCAGAAATCTCTGGTTACCGCAATTCCAAGCCCGTACCGAAAAGGATTCTGGGTTATACAATTCAGGTTGGCTGAAACGGAGGTTGACGAAAGGTGCGACTGATGCGAATATTGAAGTTCAGTTTTGTGCGAGAGCTGAGAGAAGTCGCATTATCGCGCACCCAGCTTCATGAGTGTGTGGCTGCGCCTCTGATGGTTTTATTGGCCAATGGGCATTCCCGGATGACCAACGAGCAGTCTTCTCCCCAACCCCCATCCACTGCTGACGCCGCAACACTGCCGCACTCCAGGTATCTGGGATATAGCATCGCCACGGTTGGCGTAACCAGACTCGCACCGATTGGTGGGAGAAATTCCTCGGTAAAAGATACCTCGCCGTAACATATCCAGTTTTCGCACATTACTCTTGTTTATGTTTCATGTCCCTCCCCTCCTCTCACTTGTCGTTTGGGAATTTCAATGATGCTGACAGCTGCGTGAGGGCTAATTCTTTGTCGAAGCTTGCTAGGAGCACGCGCAGCGCGGTAACGTCAAGACGAGACTGCCTTGCGAATCTATCCAACAAATGCGACAGCGAGCTGTCAATTCCGCCACTACTCCAGTTGGAACGTCACTATCGAGAAGTAGCTATCAGCATGTTGAGTAGAGGCCAGCTCGAGTGTGATCCTCACGCTGTTTCGGAAGATTCCACTCGGGAGATGTGGAACCGACGCAGCGACGCTGTATTTGCAAGCCTCCCAGTCAAAACGAAGCATCAAAACGGAAATGAGGCTCCTGACGAGTACCTTTTGTGCTTAACGTAGTCTAAATTCCTGCTTTTCGGGGAGGGGTCCAGAAGCCAGCTTTCAGGGCTTCGACACACGACGCTGCTAGTGATCCGTGATCACGCTCCGAACCTGCCATGATCAGGAAGCTGCGCTTCTTAAAGCAGCAACTCCTGAGGATGTTTTAGCAGCGGCCAGGACCTCGTTATTCAGCAAGATCACCCACTCTCGAAAGCTCACTATTCGACTAGCAGCCCCGAAGTCCTTGTCGTTTCACATTGATAGCGGTGCTGCGCTCCAAAATGCCTCCTCGGGACACAACGACCCCAGTGACCCCTTCCTCAGTCTCGGCGATTAGAGGCTCCAAAGCTGTGGAGCGCTGCTCTCCGCTTCAAATTGCTCACGCCATACTGAAGGTATAGTTCTGTCGTTAATAAAAAAATTCTTTCACATCCTGCATTTTGAGCAATATTATGCTCAAACCATTCTGGATTTTAAAGGAAGTTACACCAACCTCAACTGTACGTGCAGGAGCATAACCTTCCACATGGCCTGCTGCCTATGGAGAGCCTGGCGGACATCTCCTTCAACTCTTCTGATGGACGATTCGTTGCAACTCAGGGAAAAGACGAGTGCATGGCGGAATTTGGGGGACATTACATCAAGTTCGATAGGGTCATATCTGGGGATCTCTGTCAAAATGGAATATTCAATCTCAAGGTGCGTATCATGCGTCTGATCACGACTGCTGTGACGTTCCAGGGCCTGTGTCTCATGCTGTGTGCCCTGACTTATGCAGGGAATCAGAGTCAAACGCTTCCTCATGTGGTTGCCTATCGGCAGTGTGAGAACAGACCCTCCTCCTGGTAAAAACATTCACTTCCAGGTGGGACCCTTCACAGCCTCCCTCCCTGCTAAGGAGCTATGGGAATACAAATTCTGGGCACCGTCGTTCAATAAAGTGCCAGAATCACCCAACCCCTCTAGGTGCCCGCCTCCTGTTCTTCACCTTCCGCCGCTGTCCACTCGCTTCCATTCAGCTACTGCTTTGTGTAGTCCACGTTCGCCTAGTGTCAAGGCTACATCGAGTGGATCAACAGTGATAGAAAGGGCATAAGAATGAGCTTGGCGGTCATCTGACCTTTGAAAAGGCGCATGTATGTTTCTCACTGCTAGTGCTTCTATGCATTGCCTTCCCAAACCTGATCGTTAAATTTGTGCCACTCGATTATGAAATGTTCATTAGTGGTCTATTACTGATTTGTTTGCTTCACAGGTTGCCCAGATGATTACACTAATGTTAGGAGTCAGACCATCTCCATTTGAAATTTGGTTTGTGTAGAGGAGTTGTTTATTTTGTAGGTATTGTGTGCTAGTAGGTGGAGCCCTCTGTCGAAACACAGCCAACACAAAAACACCCGCGACTTGCTCCCACAGGTCACGTCACCTTCCCACGAACCTAGCGTCTCTTTTGGTTCTGTACCTTGCTGACAGCTCAGCTCGGGTACCAGAGCCTCTGCAAACCCCAACTAGCGCCGCAAGTTCCATACCTCCATTCTCAAAGCCCCGCCAGCCACACATGGTGAACAATTTTTTACCCGTAACGCTGTAACACCAGGTCGGGCACATATCAAGCCTATTCCGTGCTAGGTTAGCGGTTTACCATTACAGCACGAACCTGCCCGTGAATCCGTCCGTAACCAGTCAACGAAATTATACACACGTTCCTCCCGCAAGGAGCACGCGATCGCACCGACACATCAGCAAAAGAGAGGCAGACAGACAAACATCCAGCTGGCGTCAGCACAATCTCCAACGAAATTTCCTTCCGTTGCGTTTGCGGTGCATGCGAAAGCTCGAATTCGGCCAATGACAGATGCCTCGGCTGTCCGCCATCCGTCACATCACTTCGTCCACACGTTTGCGACCAGTCATGCCCCACGACCATCCTCTCGCAGCGCAGTTCGCGATTCGAGCCTGACAGGTTGGTGCTTTGCTTTGCGGGCAATTTGTGTGGTTCGGCGACGGAGTGTGTCGCACGCACTCTGAAACGAAATGGCGGTTGTTTGGTTTGGGTTGTCGCACGCCCCCCCCTGCCCATCTGTCTGCGGTGGGACCTTCCCAAATCCCAACTCGTCGCTGTTGCCGCTGGGTCTACGTTCCTTCCTTTCGACCTATTTGGTCACTATTTCGTCGGTCATAACATAAATACCACCGTATTATCCTGATATACCAAGGAAGGCTACGTGCATTCCATTCAACGTTTACAGATTTCAAGCTGTCGCCTTTCTTGTCGCCACCTACACCCAACATACTCCCGCCCTCGCTTTTGCCTTTCCAATCGCCGCCACCATCCGAACCACCTGTTTCATCCCACTGTCAACCTCGTGAGATTTGTTCATTCTTCCGTTCCTCTCTCCATCTCCGCGCTTTGACTCCCTTCTAACCATGGCGATGAGTCAACGCGTCTCACGCGCCTCGACGAGACCCGCCGCGCCAATCCTCTTATCGACCGCCGTCGTATGCGGTCTCCTACTTCTCGCGGTCGCGCCCCTCGCGAGCGCGTCACGTCTAGCTCCAAACGGCACGGTCGCCGCGATGGGGCGATCAGCAGGATGGCGGCGCAGTTTGTTTTACTTGCCATTCGGCCGGTTCATGTGCGGCAAGTCCGGGCTGAAGGGTTACACGTCGATGGTGAAGCTTCAGTACGGGTACGCGACAATGCAGGCCGCGATAAAGCGACGAGAGATGATGCTAGTAGATCATTAAGATGATCTTACTTCCGTTCTGTCTTTCCTACTTTCTTTCCCCCTTTCTTCCGTTCTTTCTTTCCTCTCCGCTCATCCCCTCTCATCCCAACGTCGTCCCGAGTTCAACAAGTTGTTGCAATCATCTTCCCTTCTCCGCCATGTGCATCGTAACTCCCCTCCTCATCCCGATCATCCCTTTGCATCCGCGCTCATCATCTCCGTTACAAGCTCTTGCTTCACTGGAAAGCCACCAAGGGCAAACCTCCACGCGCGTCTAAACTCGTTTCCTTATCCCCTTCATCCCGCTTATCCCCGTTACAGGCTCTCTCTGCACTGGAAGGCCACCAAGGGCAAACACATCAACTTCGCCATCCAAGCGCGCCCGGGTTCCGCGGCGCAAAAGGCGGGCTGGTTTGCCGTCGGCTGGTCGCCGAACGGCGACATGGGCGGCAGCAACGTGGTCGCGTACGAGACGGGCACGGCCACCGCGTCGCCGTACGATCTCCAAGGGGAATCCGCCGCCGTCGCCGCCACGTCGTGGGCGCCCGGATCGGTGGATGTTACCACCGGCAAGAAGGGCGGGATTATCGTCAAGTGAGCTCGTCAAAATCCCTGCTTTGAATAGTAATTCCTCAACTGCTTCCACCCCTTTCAAATCTCCAGCCGTTATCCCTCCTTTCACTGCGCTCACCCACCTTCCATTCCGTTCTGCTCCCACATCTCCCTCATTCGCCTTACATTCACATCACATTCGCCTCACATTCGCCTCACATTCGCCTCGCATTCGCCTCGCATTCTCCTCAATCTTGCTCCTCCTTAACAGCAAGTTTCCCTTTCCAGCTAACCTGCATTTTTCTTTGTCACTCACTAGCTCGGCCAGCGACGGCTTGTCTGTGAGACTGTGACCCATATCAGCCTGAGCACCCATATTGTGACCGCCCCACTTTCCCCTCAAGCCACCTGTGCACCCATCCATTCACCCCCCTGTGCTATGCACCCACATCGCAACCCCTTCTCCTCACTCCTCTCTTGTGCCTCCAGGTTCACTCGCTCGACCAATGACGGATCATCCATGAAGGTGCACACAACAGCGGGAGCACCCACACTGTGATCCACTCTCCCCTCACCCCAACATTCTCCCCCTGTGCGTCCCTCTCTCTGTCCCTTCTCACTTTTCTGCCTCCAGGTTCACTCGCTCGCCCAATGACGGATCATCCGTGAAGGGGCACAACAGCGGGGGCACCCACACCGTGATCCACTCTCCCCTCACCCCAGGATTCCCCCCCCCCCCCCTTGTGCGCCCCGCTCTCTGTCCCTTCTCCTCACTTGCTGCCTCCAGGTTCACTCGCTCGCCCAATGACGGATCATCTGTGAAGGTGCGGAACAGCGGGGGTGCCCACGTCGTGTTCGCATACGGCCCCGACTCTAACGTCGCGATGCACACTGATGCGTAAGTGCCACACAGCATCCTGTGATCCCCCTGCTTTTGAAGTTCAGTGCTGCCCCCTGCTTTTGAGGCACCTCAAATGTGTTTGCATGCGCCCCGACTCTAGTTTCGCCTTGCACACTCTGATGCGTAAGTTTCATGCACTAACCATCTCTGCTTGTGCTCAGCGATAAGCGCTTCCGTTGCCCTGCCCACTGAGCTATAGACTTGTGAATGTTTCTGACCCTAAGTCCCTCATTCTGTTGCTGTTACTGTGTGTGTTGCTTTGTCTTGCAGGGAGCACACAGTGGCTGATTTTTCCTGTGGCTGCGGGCTCCTTAGGACTGGCTGCTGAGGTTCAGCCAAATTCAGTGAGGGCGTGTTCGTACGCCTCTTTTCAGACACACCTCTTATCAGAATTGCATGGTTCAATGCGTTTCAGTGCGATGCGACACAAGTGTGATAGAGGTCTGTCTGACAAGAGGCCGTAGGAACAAGCCCTCTGAATCATTTGACACGCGCGTGTACCGGCTGCAGAAATCCGGTTGTACTCTTGAACAAAAATCATTCCTTTCACTTCTACATGATATGCGCACATGCTATTGTGAATGCAATTCGACTGAAAAGGCCGGATGGAAAATACAAACATCAGTTGAGAGCGAAGAAGATGATTTGAGCTGTTCTCCTGCTCAGAAAACGTGGCTGCTTACAATAAACGTAGTTGTAAAGCTTGAAATGATTTATTTTAGGGATAACGTAAGGCTGCTGGGTTTCCGAGTGTTTGATTCTTATGATATCTTATCGCAAAACTGATGAATCATCTCGATGAATTTTGTCGCTTTGCTCTTCTCGCATCTGCTTCCACATAGAAATCTCCACCTCTGGATGTCGAGGCTTTCATTTCTCTCAATCAAACCCAGAATCGCTTTTTCACCTCCTGCCTTCTCAAACTCGTTCTTGCAATGCGCCGTGTGCATTCCAAGGCGTCGTCGCCTTCGCTTTTGTTTCCCTGCTCTGTGCGTCATCGCCAGATCTCTAGTCTATCTCGCGCGTGTTTGCTGGAAGTATATATTACTCCTTGCATTCGTGCCTAACAATATGGTCCCCGCGATCATAGATTTTGGAAGCAGATGATGAATTGTATTGGTCTCGTTCGTCGTAATGGTGGTGTCTTCACTGCCTTGCCGACAACCGTACTACATCACCACCCATAGCCTGATGCTTCCATCCCTTCAAAAATCACCAATTAGAGTCAAGGTGTTCCATTGTTCTCTTTTGTGCGTCCATTCTGTGTTCAATTCTCATGATATCATATGCAGCGTTATCCTTTTTTTTTTTGTTCTGAAGGACACTGGAAGCGTATGATGAATTGTATTGGTCTCGTTCGACGTAATGGCAGTGTCCTCACTGCCTTGCCGACAACCATACTACATCACCACCCATAGCCTGACGCTTTCACTCTCTCAATACCACATGAACACAAGGATTCACGAAGTTCCTCCGATCTTCCCCCCTTGCATGATTCGTTTGATATGGGCTGGGCCGAATTTCATGAATTCATTGGCAAATGATAGGGTTCTTTTGAATAACGTTGGGAGCGTATGATGAATTGTATTGGTCTCGTTCGACGTAATGGCAGTGTCTTCACTGCCTTGCCGACAACCATACTACATCACCACCCATAGCCTGACGCTTCCAACGCTATACTAACTTGTTGAAGATGATGCTCCATCATTCACGCCTAATCCATGTTAGCTCCTTGCTCATTCTGCTCCGTAGTAATGCGTACTAGACGAAATCACAGGGAGCATACTGGAGGGTGATCCGTTCACACCTAATGTCTCACTTTCCAGTCTGGTACGTAGTGGTTAAAGCTCAAGGCCCAAATTGCGGGCCGCGCTGGGCAAGATTACTAATCTTGCTGAGCGGCTGTTTGGGTGCTGTGAGTTGGCGAATTTTGGGTTACACTAGGTACGAATGAATCTGATTGGTCGAGACCAAACTCACCGCGCAAACTTCATGTTTCAGTATTTCTCAATTTGGGACTATCGGATCCAAACAGAATGTTTGGCCCAGAGTTTGCTGACTCAGCAAGTTTTGCGAGAGCTTGACGAAAAAAGCGAACCCCACTTTCTCGACTTTCTGTTCACCTCCCAAACCACCAGCCCAAACCCTTGCGCAAGATTACTAATCATGCGCAATTTGGGCCTTGAGCTTTAAGAGTGGTAAAATGGTCAAAGCACTGAACAAATGCTGCGTGTAATGGCCATGATGGGCATTTTTAAAGCTATAGGCCCAAATTGCGCAAGATTACTAATCTTGCGCAAGCTTGGGTGCTGGGGGGTGGGCGCTGTGAACTCAAAAGTCGAGCGAAGTGACTTGTCTGATTTCGCAGCGACAGTTGTTTGCTTGCTGAGTCAGCAAGCTTCACAGGTGAAACGTGCGTTTGGGGACTACGAGTCCCAAATTGCAGAGATGAGAAAGTTGAAGTTTTTGCGGTGAGTGCAGATTTGACCAATCAGGTTGCTTCGCCCCTACAGTAACCAGGTTTTCGCCAAGATACAGCACAAAAAAACGTGAGTGGGCAAGATTACTAATCTTGCCCTGCGCGGCCCGCAATTTGGGCCTTGAGCATTTTTAACGGGCCCCCAAAAAATGCCTCCTGGGCATTTCGAGAAACAGCTTCGAAATCGGACTGTAGCTGCAGTGCACCTTCGAAAAAATGGGGCTGAGTGTTTGGTTGGCATTACGACGTGTTGCGACCCACCCGGGTCGGGTCGACCACCCCCGATCCCGAATTTCCAGGAAGCCCGCAGTGCCGACCTACCCGACCAGGCCGACCGGACCCAACCCAACCCGCGTTGGGTCGGGTTGGGTCGACCCGGGTCGACCAAACCCAACCCAACCGAGCTGGAGAAGGTTACCGGAGCCCGCGAAAACTGTGGTTCTCGCGTGGATGTCGTCTGTATCTCGTCCAACAATTTGATACCCGGTAACATCGCGCACAACAAGTTCGCGACGTGGTGAGGATCGCCGAGCATTGCCCAGACCCCCATCCACCCGCACAGAAGTTGCGCCCCCACGACGACGAATTTGGGTGGACGGCGATGGGAAATTCTTTTCTTTCTCGAGTCGCCCTGTGGTTTGGTCGGGTCGGGTCGGGTCTGCCCGACCCTGGTCGACCGGGTCGACCCGACCCGACCCGACCCGGGTGGGTCGCAACACGTCGTTAATTGGGAGTGGATTGATGGCATCAATCGAAATTTAGGGTTTCGCAGAAGATGGTAGGCAGTTGCGCGTGATCATGTGATTGGCTGGCAGTCACTTTTGATTGCCCCGAATCACTGATACCCCGCATGGTGCGGGGCCTCGAGGCCGCATGGTGCGGGGTGTCCGAAAATGGGCTCTTTGCTAGGGAAAATGGGGTCGTTGAAGAAACGGTGGATTCGAAATGCCATCGGATAACGGGGTGTTTGGTTGGCATTCCATTATTGTCAGGTTCGGCTTAGTCCGCTTATATCGAACCTTGATAATCTTTCACGCGCTTATCAGGGAAGGTTCCAGGGTGGTAGGTTCAGGGTAGCCCATCCCCCTCGCCCGGTTTTTTTATGCCTGTCAAACTGGGCCTTTATATGTGAAAACGTTTTCTCGCTTTGTCCACATGACATTCAGCCATTGCGCTTCTCACGATCACCATACGTTTTCAGAAACGAGATGGCGTGATGCGCGAATACTGCCCTTTTTCTCCGCAAGCTGCCTTCTTCGTCGCGTCCACCCACGCGTTTGCATTGTTAGCCCGAGAAGGCGTTAAATTTCATCCTAAGCGTAGGCTTGAGGCTAATACTTCGTTCTTCTGCTAGTGAAACAGTTCGACGGGCTGTTGTCTAGCTTGCAATGGCCACGACCACTTGTTCTTATACGATTTTCGGTAGGCAACGTAATGGCGAATTTCCGAAAGGAAAATATTGGACGGCTTTCCGTCAGACAGACCATGCAGAAATACTAACATCCAGCGTCCGAATTTTTTAAGCTGACCGTTTCGAACGGTTGCTCCTTCGCCGTTACATGCTCTACTGGCTCTTCATCCCGTTAGGCTGTGAAATCGTCATCGCAATGTAGGCCCCGTGAGGCTGCTGAATCTGCCAAGAAGGTTGAAGCTGCAGGAAAATTAGCCGGAGCGAGCAGCACACATGGTAAGAGGCATCAGCATGGAGGCTAGTGAGGTGGTAAGTGATCAAGACTGCTGGCTGATGGGCATGCCGCATGCATGTCGATGTTGTAGGTGTGAATGTGCTATCTGTGAAGTCTGGTTGGGAAGTTCTGTCAGGCGTTTGCGTGCTGCTGCAGTCTTACCTAAAATATAACTTGAGTTAGTATGTGTCCTATCCCTCTCCCACTGCCAGAGCGTGACGATTGACACTGCAGTGCAAAGTGGTGATGTGGATGTCTTTGTGCTGCCACTTTGCTGAGATGGGACAGCATCTGGCTTTTGGGTCACCCAGGTTGAATAGTGGCTGTTGCTGCAGGTCCATGCCGTGTGTTGCTGGACATGATGAGATGGAATTTCCTGCTACTGTTGTTTGAAGTGCTCACTCTCATCCTCATTTCTTTTCCAAAACTGCCGTCCCCTTTTCCAATCTCCTGCTACTGTGCCTTCACCCCACTCACTTGTTTTTTCCTTCTTATGACGAATTTGATGGTGTGCTTGGAGGACCCGTGTGCAGCTGAGTTGGCGCTCTTCATTGCAACGATTATGCAGGCTGGCGACATCTCCCTGAAGGCGCAGGGTGCCTTTTCCACAGCCTCTTATGATAGTTGGGCTACTTACTGCACAATGTCAAGTGAGTGAGGCGCATTTTTTTTTTTTTTTTTTTTCCCCCCCCCCCCCCCCCCCCCCCCCCCCCCCCCCCCCTTCCTGTTGAGCATATTATTTTTTGTCATCCGCCACATAACACAAGTTGCAAATTCGTAAGTGTTCCGCAAATTGTAACAGTCTGATTTGATGTGACACTCGCGATTTCGGATCTCCATCCCCCCTGGGTCATTTTCAGGTTTTGCGAAGTTGCGAAGCTTTCGATGGTGGTGACCGCCGATGTCGCTATCCTCTAATCGCAGTCACATCTCGAAACTCACGATCGCAGATTTCGCCGTAAGTTGTGTATTGGGATTCGCAATGTTTTTTCTCGAACCGCGCAAACGAAATTTCACTGCATTCGACATTGAACCACACAACTCCACTTTCACCTTCGACAGCACCAGTCGCTGTCCAAACTTTTCTCCCAACGATTTGCACACAATCCCAGGCAAGTTATCCCTTTCATTCCCTTCCCAGCATCTTAGGCGGCATGACGCCGC